TATGAAAATTGAATCGATATTAAATAATTATCAAGCTGGCCAGAAAATGAAATGCTTTCGTATGATCCTGAAAATTACATTAGCATATTTTGGATTTTAACTTATATAAGTTGTTGATCATGTAATTAAAAAATACAAGAAAAGAAATGGACTTTGTCCTTACTTATTCTGGCATATTATTTGAATAAAAAATTCTTTCCAACAATTGAATGTAAGCCATTTGACGTAAAATTTGAACAAATAATAAACAGAATAATAATGGTGATTTGAATTTAAAATCGGCTTTTCCTCGATGGGTCTTTGTGAGTTGTTTATTGTTTCAGAAAAACAATATCCTGCTCTACATGTTTCCGCTGCGGGCTGCAGCCATAATTCATGAGCTGCGAAAAAATTTTGACAAAAATTAGTACAAAAATAAATCTTTTAAATTCAAATCACCATGAATCAACCCTCGATCGTGAAATTCTACCACAAAAATAATAATAATAACAAGACGTCCAAGCGCATTCTATTTTGCTTTACAAAATCAATAGTACAGCAACCTGCGTAACGTAAAAGTAAGTCAGGTTGCATAGCACGTGGAATTATGTTTGTACAATTATGGTGTAATGATCTTGAAAATCTAGATGTTGCTATAAATTAATCTAAAATTCTCGCCTTCAATTATTGATTATTTTATTATAAAATTTTAGTTTTTATAATTTACTCTTTCCTGAGTCTTTCATAGTTTTGACCGGGTTTCTACGCTTTTTTTATCAGAAACCTTTATATCATCAGCATTTTTCAATTTATTTTGGAAAAAACGGAGGTATAGTTTGAATAGTTAGCTTCCTGCCCCCCCCCCCCCCTAAGCATGTAACTTTTTTATAGTTCTACATTATTTTTAAAAGACCGTTGCTGTGCATATGAAAATATAATACAAGAGGGAAATAAGAGTTGGAGGAAACACCAATTTCCATTTGAAACTACTGATAATTTACTGTTATAAAATCACTCACGTTATGGAGAGCATTATTTTGATGGCATTCTTTCTGATTTCAAGAACATATTCTGGTAAGTGACGTTTTATTCAAAATTTTCTCTTATTTAGTTTTTTTATTTTCTAAATGTATTTCAGCAAAAAAATTTAAAACAAAAATAAATCGATAAACAAAAATTCATTTTTACGTTTCTCATGTTTCTAAAAATATAAATTAAATTTACTAGAGAAATTATTGATACAATTTTATTATAAATCATTATGGAGCTAAACTTTTAAACAATAAACTAATCATACAGGTAATGAAGACCGCGTCCCCTCACGCGTTTCTTCTGCTGCGTTGTGGTCATGCCGGGCATGATAAAAAAAAAATGCAGTGGCACGAACAAGGGAATCGTGGGTGCGCAAAGTAGAAAGAAAGAAAGTGTTGCGGCGCGTGTTCGGCTTACTCATTAGAGTGCCGAGCGGACAAACAATAATAATATGCACACAAATAATATACTGTATAAATTATTGACAAACCTGCGTGCGCCCGGCCAGCCGCGCTGACATAATTGTGAACCAAAGTAAGTAGGCCGTTTGTAATCCACACACATTGCGCATCGCTCGTCACCATCGCTGGCTTCGATCGAATTTGAGCTTTTGGTTTTGACAAAGAGGAAGAAGCAAAACCGCTGCACTCTAGATTTTTCCGGCGCAGAAAATTCGTTCTCTCTAGATGTTTACATTTTCAAATGTCAAATTGGCTTCGTGGAACGACTCCTTCAAATTTCCATTTTGCCGTATTTTAGCTTTATGAAGAAATAAATATTTATTAATTCTTTGCCTAGTTCAAGTCTTTATATATGTCCATTGTATAAAACAGAATTCCCTGCCACATTTTTGCCTTAATAATATCTAACTAATTAACATTTTAATTACTTTTTCATTACATAAAAATGTAATTAAAAATCTCCGAACCAGCTTTTTTATTAGTACCTCTTTTGTCATTTATTTTTATTAATTAAAAATTTTTATTCTATAAATCTTTTTGAAATCGTATAGCAAAAAATTTCAATAATAAGAAATGGCAAGGTATTATAGCATTTTTTTATTTCAAAAAATCCCCTCTTAAAATATTAATATCATACATTTATTTGACAATCATTTAAAAAAAGGTATTTACGCTAATACGCTATAATGATAATAATAAAGAATTTAGAAAAGATGGGAGTCGTAAAAAATAGTTATCAAGTAAATTTGAGCTGCAGTTTTTTGCCAGGAGTAAGAGCAAAAAAAGAACAAAGAAAGCGGCATTTGGAAGTATCAGGCAGTCATTTAAATGCAAGCTTTCAGCATCCAGAAAAAGAAAAAAAAAATGTCCAAAGAACTTGACTACTGTTATTTTTCTTGTGTTTATATTTTGTAATTGAAAATTTTGTTTGTGAAATTTCGCATGTAAAACTTTGTTTGTAAAACTCTCATCTTTTCTCTCAATTGTATTGAATTTGTATAATTTTGAATGTATGAATGATGTATCCCGTTATGGGCAGCAATTGCCTTTGTGATATATCAATAAACACAATTTGCAACTAAATTTTTACGCTTCCATCAAAGTTAAGCCGACCACATTCGCAACTCGCGGTGCTGCCAGCGCACATCTTGCTTGATTAGGTGAGAATCTCAACAGTTTGTTGCTAACAAGACACTAATCAACCAAGCACATCAACAGATACTCGACTCCGAGCAATTGCCTAATTTGTAAATTGCCCTCTAATGAACTGAAATCACAATACACCACACGGCAGACCGTGCTGCCGGTCGTTTTTTGCAAAACAATTATTTCTCGTATTTGTAATTTTTAAAGCAATATTTTCTTTTACATAATATAAGAAGGTGTGGAAAATTAAGAAAAAAAATTTCAAAATCATACAGGAGTTGATTAAAAATAAATGAAAAATTAATTAGTTTGGAAAAAATTTGTTTGCTTTCAATTAAAAATTGAATAAAATTGAAACCCTATAAGTGTAGAGAAGCTTTAATTATGCTTTATTATATCCTGGTAAAAAATCAACAACATGGACAATACAGCGCCAGAATTTTGGGTTAAATCAATTAATTAGTTTTATTCGTTTACTTTTTTTAAACTTCTACAATTTCCAAACGTGATACACATTCAATGTAAAAAAAATATGGTGTAATATAAATATGTATAGCAGTCAAGCCCACGACCTGGATGATTTATGCACGTCAATAAAGCACTACATCTATCAGCTCTGGCGTTTGCATCTGCATGGCAGCGTTTCCTTTTCGCAGATGAGCCGATTAAATTCTGCCCTACTTTTCAGTCCAATAAAACGTACAACGCATTTTCGCACTTCATCAGCAGCACCATAAAACTCTATGGTTTTTGCTTCATGTTTCATTTCTTTACAAAAAAAAAACAACCATCAAAATTCATCAAGTTTTTTTAACCCATTCAATTTTTTCAGTAATGTTATCTTATCTGTTACATTATAACTATACTGAAAAAATTACACAAAAACTTTTCTCATAATTCAATGTTGTAATGTCAAGCTCTCTATATATTTTTATGTTGCTTACTTAATTTAATTTGCGTGATATGAAGTGTTTTATTGAAAATTATTTCAACTATTTTCTGGCAGATTTGTAAAATTCTCATGATCCTCGAACTTCAGTGCTATCAAATTATATTTCAATGAAAATGACGCCAGTAAATAATTCATAATTATTTAGTACATATAAATTAATTGACATCAAAATTTTTCAGGGCAAATTTTTGCTGGATGAGACTTTTGTAAAGAGAATCAAGCGTTTTTCGGCACCTGTCCAAATCTGGCGCCGTTTGAATTGGAAATGCAAGCGCCGCGACTGAGACAATGATTCGAGCCAATCGTGCGGGAGGAACGTCGTTTTCTTATCCCTGACCCGGCCTCGCTCGCTCGGCTTGAAACAAAAAGAGACATCAACTCGCGCGCGGTGCATCCCAATAATTTGATTGCCCCACACTTGATTTTAATATCAGCAGCACCCGATCGAATTCACGACGACGACTGACTATAATTGTTCGCAGAGCAATATGAAGTGAGAATGTGCTTCTTCTCACTTACGTTGTAAAAACGGTGACGTCACGTTTTGCAGGCTAAAAAACATCACGCAGAGCGTTTTATGTAATTTCATAGAGCGAGCCAAGTTGGCAGTAAATGCAGCAGGGTTTCGTTTTTCTTATCAAGCGTACTTGATCGCGGACTATATGCATTTTACAATTTGCAATTTTACAGTTGTATGCGTTGTGCAATTAATTAATTGACACACAATGTAATACTGTACGTCTCCTTGCGACATGGTCGGTCAATTTCTCTTTTGACTTTGATTAACTAAATCATTAGCCATCCAGTTTTTATATTAAAATGTATTAAGTAAACATGAAACTTGAAGCAGCTTACGGTGATTGTTTTCTGTAATGGTATAATTTTTGTTTGAATTGATTCTGTTTGATGTTTAATAAATAAATTTAAACGAAGCTTTAATATATACATTCAGCAGTTAAACATTCAAGAGGTATTTTTCGTCAATTTTAAAAATCTTGAAAATCTTTTTAATCTCACAATTTTTTGTAAGGAAATGTTTATTCGAAACATGCGCACCATCAAAATAATTCATTTTTACTGTTACAACTACTGCTGAATAACTTTATGGTCAGGTGTGATTTGATCAGATGTTTTGCCATTTTCATTTTACTTTCCGACACACTAAATTCATAATATATGGATTGAAAAAGTTATTGAATTTTTTACTGCTTAAAAAATTAAAATTTTTTTCCCTTTTTTCTTTGTCAACATAAGAAAGAAGAAAAATTTGAGGCTGAACAAAAAATAAAAAATATTTAATGTTGGTTGAAATTCATCTAAACACATCACGCGCCCTTGACAGTTTCGCGAAATGACTTTTGGGCAAAAGGTGTTGCGTTGTCAGAGCAGCGATAAAACGCCGCGCGCCTGGCGGGATGCTGAGCCGACCCAGATCGACTCCCCATAAAGCTGGACCACTCTACTTCTCTCACTTGCAGGGTCGCCTCTTTGCAAAAACAACGCAACGCCACACACTCTGGCCGGACAATTTTCCATTGTAAGTTTTTATTTCAGTCGCTATCAATATTTAATTAAGGACTCCTTATTGACATAGTCATATCAAGTCTTTACAGCAAAAATTTTTCATTGACTCGTATTTTCGTAAAGGCTTGATTTGACTATGTCATTAAGCAGACCTTAAATTAACTACCACGAAACTTCACACTTTTAAATCGTGAAAGTTATTTTATTTTAAGCATTAAAAATAAATTGACAACTTTTTATTTTATATTTTCATAAAGGCAAAAATCAAATCCGTTAAATATCATTGGTAAGGAAGTTAAATATAAGTCTAAAAAATGCTGGAAAATTAAATGGTTCAAATTTAACAGACTTGTTTATTTTTGAGAAGTTAATTGATGGCTGAAAGTGACTGGGTTCAAAAGTAAATCAAATTGGAATGTTCAAACAAACCTGTTGCTTATCACGGCCCGTAAATCGATTTCTAGACATCAACCGCTTGTCATACACACCACAAATATTTATTAATTCTTTTTTCAAATGTCTACAAAACCCACTCGACAAGAAGTGTTTTCACATAATTTTTTTTCATGCTTTGCCGATTCGCAGCAGACGGAGCGAGGAGAGAAATTTTTATTTTTTGCTGTGGGCGAGACATGAGATTCGTTCGTTTGCATAATAATCATTTCGCGGTGCTTTGTTGCAATTAAATTGGTCCGCAGTAGTAGTTGATCTTGAAATTCTCGCCGGCGAGGCTTTTAAGGACCATATTATTGCATTTGCATGCTTTTGTCTTCGCGCCGCGATATGATCTGGCAATTATTATCCTTTCACCTCCAAAACCGGGGGCTCTGCTGAAAAAAACCGGCTCAAATTTCATGACTGGTTCAAAAGTTTTGGTCGATTTAAATTTCACCAAGAATTACTTTCAATTTTCAAAAAATATTAATTTATGCTAGCAGGTTCCCCTACTTCATAATTCCAATCAATAATCTGCCTTAGAGAGTAATTTCGTAAATAATTTTAAATAGATTCGTTAAAAAAAAGGAAAAATTTTAATTTGAAAGGAAATATTTTCATAATTGGGACCCAAAAAAAAGTTAAATGTCCAATTAAAATTGCACGATTTATTAATATTTTATTGCTCCCTAATTTATGTGCGACGCGTATTGTCGTGGGACTGTCTCGCTGCGATGTCAAAATAGCGCCAAGGAAAGAAAGCACTGGCGGACAACAATTGAACGCGCGTGATTATATTTTTACAATGCTATAAAACGCGCTGGAAGCAGTGCGTCGATCACTCGCTCAATTAGATCAAGGCGCTCGCGATGGTAATAAAAGAGTTTCTAGCCGTTTTCTGCTTTTGCTAATGGTGATGCAAGTTCAAATTGCACTTGCAAATCTTGCTTGTTTTGCACACAGATAGTCGGAACCGATCAATCCAGTTTTGAGTTTGTTGCTAGTGCAATAATTTGTATGTAAGTCGCGATAGTTTCAAGCAATTTTAACTCATTTTGAACTCCGAGATTAAAACCTTAATCACAATTCTCTGTAAACATATTTGCGGTTTCTTCAAAATGTTAAATTATGAATATTATACGACTTCAATCTTGAATTTTAACTGTAGTACATAAACGTATTGCAAGGGATACAAAATGACAACGTTAATTGCTTAATATATTGTTGCTGATGAAAATATGTATGAGATTATGTAGACATATATTGTATTAATATTGCACATAAACATTACAGGATATATTCCAGGCAGTGAGAGTTATAAAATAAAAAATATAACTCAATTAAATTTTTTTTTATCATATTTAAAGTGAAAAATGTGATGTTATTTTGCATAAAAAAAGATATAAATCTAAATTTTTATACGAAATATTAATCTAAATGGTATAAACTAATACTTTTTTTAAATTATATTAGCAATGTTTTAGAAGTAAAACTAACACCTAATTATTTCTGAGCTCTATCTGATTAAAACTATATTTTATTGCAAATTTTATTCAAATTGATAAGCACCATTTTTAAGGAACCATGATGTGAGCAAAAGTGAGAAAGAGGACAGTCTAACCTCTTGATTTGGATTAGAAAAGTTTGAATTCAAACAATCAAATTGGGAATTACAAATTTAATTTCAATTAATTACATTAAATGTTAGATACTGTATTTTATTCTTAACCATTTTTAAGCCATTAATCGACTAAAGGAGTTTCTAGCTTTTACGGGTAAAATTATTTAAATTTCAAATTTGAAAATTTACTCCCCAATTTCCAACATATAAGCAAAAACCTTAAAACTTAAAAAATTTAGCCCATCATTTAAAATAAACAAAAAACTAGACGAGAATGTGCTCGTTTAAAATTTTTCAATTTTGGTTAGGGTTCAGAATCTTATTTTGTAGCAAAAAAATCTGTGAATCAAAAAATTAAAATAGAATATTGAATAACAAACAGATGCATCATTAATTTAAATTAAAACTTACAAAATACGACTGGCCATAATTATCAAATTAAATCAATATCCTTCCCATTTTTGCAGTCAGAAAATTGAAAGAATATATATAATAAGATAGCGCTTCTCCACAGATGGTCCGGCTGCCAAATTAGCACGAGTGTGTGTGTCCATCCATCCACCACTCTCTCCAGATCCACTTGGTGCGTCCATCAGAAGAGAAGAGGAACGGGTGACGTCAGCGTCCATCGGCGTAGCTTATAAGTAGAGGCCGGGCCAGGGTGGGGGCTCACTTTGGACCGGGATGCCTCTCAAGGGACCTCGCAAGTTGTCCGGCGTGCCAATCGAATTGTCCGATCAGAACGGACAGCGCTTCAGGGTCAACCGGGTAGACTCGATCGCCGTCGGCATGCACCGCGACTCGGACAACAAAACGCTGAGCGCGTTGCCGGAGGACGACGTGCTGGACACGTCGAACGGCCACGCCAACCTGGCCTTCGACTCAGGCGACGAGGAGGACGAGTCGAGGGACGCGTTGCCGCCGATGGCCGTCACCAACAGCCGCCGGCCCTCGCTGCAGTACCAGTACACGTTGGCCGGCACCGGCACCGTCTACGGCGGCAACCTCGTCCAGCAAACCAGAGAGGCGCTGCCCAGGCTGGACAACTACCGCGACCTTGCGTCCATCGCCGCCGGACACCGGCCAACCTTAGACGAGCTCAGGGAAAATGCCAAACTTGAAAAGGTGCGTGGAATATCTTGATTGTAATGTCTTTCAGAATAATTTATTTAAATGAATTTTTAAAAGTAAACTTAAAGCTATTCAAAAAATTTTAATATTTTTTTATTGAATGCAGGATTATAATTTTAATTTTTGGCAAGATTAATTATTATTTCAAAAATAAGACAAATTCAGAACTAGAAATCACTGGTTTAATGTTTTGTAGAAATGTGCGCATTGCAATAATTCATTTAAGAATGACCTCTGTGTAAGAATTTTGAATGAAAATTAAATTAAAATAAAAAGTTGGAAGTTAAAAATGTTTCAAATTTAAATATCTTTCTCTGTGAATTTTGCAATCAAATTGCCATTCAAAAAAATAAAAAGCCTCCAAGTTTTTCCTTTAAATTTTATAATAACGCATAAAAAATAAAACCAAGACAATCCTTTTAAAGTAAAACTTTTGATTAAGGAATTAAAATTATTTATGCTTCTACTCTTTCCTCTTTAATGCAGTTGTTAGGCTGACTTACGCTGTTAAATGCCTTTTTGGTCACCCTTAACGTCTCAATGGTGCGTGTTAGTTTTTTTAATTATTTTTATGGCGATTGTAGGCCTTTTTCGGAGCCAACTGTCTTACTTATAAAAATTAATTCCTTCCTCCAAAGGTGACTAGAAAAATTGATCAACGATAGATATTTCTATTGATGAAAATAAAGTTATTCTTAAAATTAGAATTAAAAAAAACAAACAATACATAATTAAAAAAAAATGGAACTTAAAATCTTTCTGAATATAATTTTATCTTTTATATTATTAAAAATAATAATTAACCGTATTTCCTTGATTTTAACGCATACAATTTTGTTATGCACAGATGTAAGATAAGCGAGGTTCAAGTTTCCGCAACTATTGTAAACAATTTGCGCAGATAATTCAAGGTCCTAAAGTGTGTACTTTTCTTACTATGCTTTGCTATGGCTCACAGCGACAGAGAATTCTGGTAACGTCACATTAAAATACCAATTAGCCGCTCGACTAGTCCACTTAATGCGCTATTGTAAAAATGCAAATACAGATTTGGAGTGACGCTGCCGTGCGTGCACTTCATAGCTCGTCAACAACATGATTAATCATTCTTGCGTTCAATAAACCCGTTCAATTTTGCTAAAAATAATTCCACTTGGATAATTCCATAAAGAGAAAAATTGTAATTATAGTTAAGAAAAATACAATTTTTAAATTTCTGATTATTTTATTTGCAGAAAAAATTCCCTTTTTTTGGGCTTTTCAAGTCATATTGTTACTGGTTGTTATTTGCACACAATTAATTTTTTTTGTCCATTCATTGAAGTGTAATGAGATTAAAAATGATTATAATTAATTTAGGCCAACGAGCAAGGTGAGGCGCAGGAAGAAGCCCAGACAGGCGCAATCAAATTCGGCTGGATCCAGGGCGTGTTGGTGCGATGTCTGCTCAACATCTGGGGTGTGATGCTATTCCTGCGTCTCTCATGGGTCGTCGCCCAGGCAGGAATCAGTCAGTCGAAAAATAATTCCACAATTGGTAGCGACGGTATACTAACTTCTAAAAAATTTCAGTCGAAGCATGCGTGGTTGTTCTGCTCTCAGCCACCGTCACAACCCTCACGGCGCTTTCCATGTCGGCAATCAGCACAAATGGACTCGTGAAAGGAGGTGCGGAATTAATTAGCGCAAAAACCAGAAACATACAATTAGCTCTAAATTTTAATTGGGATATTAATCCCTCCTCGCTTCAATTCGAGGAATTGATATTCTAAAAGGGTTCACAAAACTTTAAAATTAATTATATTCCCGATAGATTTTGCGTCAAAGTTTTAAATTTGTACAGAGAATAAATATAAAATAATCAACTTCTAAAATTTCCAATATAGGAGCCATCTTTGAATTGATTTTGTTAAGAGCTCTTTAAAATTTTAAGAATTTTACAACCTCATCATTGTTCGTCGAAACCAATTCAATAAAATGCTTAATATTCAAAATTCCATCAGGATTTAAACTGTGGAATTTTCTATAATTATGCTTTCCCACCCTTTAAATTTTTTTTTCATTCTTAGGTGGAATCTACTTTATGATATCGAGATCGCTCGGGCCAGAGTTCGGCGCAGCCGTGGGTCTAGTTTTTTCGATGGCGAACGCCGTCGGCGTGGCTTTACACACGGTTGGTTTCGCCGAGTCTATGAACGACATGTTGCGTGCGATGGACGTCAAAATCATCGACAACAGCACCAACGACATAAGGATAGTTGGTACCATCGCCGTCACCATCCTTCTGGCCATTTGTATTATTGGCATGGAATGGGAGGCAAAGGTATTTATCTTTAGCTAAAAATTAAAGTAGACATTTTCAGTGGGAAATTTTTGCAGGCGCAAGTCGGTCTTTTGGTCATTTTGCTCTGTGCTATCGCCGATTTCTTGATTGGTGGATTCCTCGGCCCTCTTGACGACACCGAGTACGCGAAAGGATTTGTAGGGATGAATGGTAAGTAAAAATTTTTATTTGAACTTTTTAAGTGTTTAAAATTTACGAAAGTAATTGTACAGATTTAAATTTGCATAATTTGTTCAAAAGATTAATGATCCGATTATTTAATTTGAATTTAAAAGTTTTGACTAAAGCTTTTTAAGCCCCTAAAACGTAATGAAATAATTTTTAGTAAACTTGTCTTCATTTCAACTTATTGAGAAATCTCCACACTTTTCAGCTTTTTCCCGCATAAGAACACCTTTCAGAATTTTCATAATTTAAATATTTCGAAAAAAGCCGCTTTAAAACAAAAATGCACTGTTTAGTTGCAGAAATACTAAAATAAAATTAACTGACCATATTAAGATTTTTTCATCTCTTGCTTTCTATCATGATGAAAAGGCACTTCATTTTGGATACATACTGTGGATCTTCATTTTTGTTACATTTTAACCCAAAATATGTCAGTGTATTTTTTTAATATAAAAAACTTTGTAAATAAATTAAACCTAGATAATTTATAAAATTTATCTGTTCAATTCCCGCTTTATTAAATTTAAAATTTTCGAATTTCTTTGATTTTGAGGTTTTTGAATCACCCTGATTACTGATCAACTTTTCAGCTACGTTATTTGTGGACAACTTAATGCCGGATTTCCGAGTGGTCGACGGCAAGATGCACAACTTCTTCTCCGTCTTCTCAATTTTCTTTCCATCGGCCACTGGCATTTTGGCAGGCGCCAACATTTCAGGCGACCTCAAGGTCTGTCACGTCTCTCGAATGACGCAAATCGAAAGTTTTTATTAATTCGCTTGCCCAATGCACTCCTCGCAGGATCCTTCTTCCAACATCCCCAAGGGCACCTTGCTGGCCATTCTGCTGACCACCCTGTCCTACATCATGTTCGTTCTGATCGCCGGCGCCGCCGTCGTCAGGGACGCGTCGGGCAACGTCATGGAAATCGCGGGATGGCAGTTTGCCAATTGCACTGGCAGGGAATGCCACTGGGGCCTCCACAATAGTTTCCAGGTATCACACAATTTTTTGCAATTGCGTACATTTTCCTTGTCAATAAGACGTAAGCAGCATAAATTTGAATGCAATGAATATTTGGCAAGAAAATTATATCGAATTCAAAGGCCCTGAAGAACATAGAGCTCTACTTTTTTTAGTTATTTAATACTCTTAATTAAAGTAGGACTTAATTCTTATCATAGTTTGAAGGATCCTGGAAGGATCAGTTACTGAGGAAGTAAAAATAAATAAAATAATTATTATCATACAGCAATAGAATTAAAAAAAAATTCCAATATTTTTTTGATTATTTGTCACGAAATACCAAAGCAAAATGTTTTTTATATAGAAAGAATATCGATTTAATTGATTTTAAATAATTATGTTTCCATTTTCATGATCACCTATGTACTTGTTCTGCGCTAAATTATTTTTTAATATTTAAAATTTAAATTTAATCATCACAACATGAATAATAAAATAATTCAGAATTTTCCCTCAAACATCCAAAAGTTTATAATATTATGTCAATGTATGTGTCCATTGTAAATTAATAATAATTAAGTCTCAATTTTTTTAAAGGTTATGGAGCTGGTTTCCGTTTTTGGCCCTCTGATCTACGCCGGTTGCTTCGCTGCAACTCTCTCCTCAGCTCTGGCCTGTCTCGTTTCAGCCCCCAAAGTGTTCCAAGCTTTGTGCAAGGACAAACTCTACCCCTACATTGAGTGGTTCGGAAAGGGTTACGGCAAGAGTGGAGAAGCTTACAGGGCTTACGTTTTGACCTTCGTCATTGGCGTTGCATTCATCCTAATTGGCAAGCATTTTTTTTTAATCCTTTCAGTGGAAAATTTTATTAACTATTTGCACTTCCTATAAATTTTCAGGTGATTTGAACGCAATTGCACCCCTGATATCCAACTTTTATTTGGCCTCCTACACCCTGGTCAATTTCTGCACGTTCCACGCATCCCTCACCAAGCCCATCGGCTGGCGTCCGACCTTTAAATACTACAACACGTGGCTCAGTTTGCTGGCCACCATTATCTGCGTCTCCATCATGTTCCTGATCAGTTGGGTGACGGCACTCATTACCTACATCGCTGTCATAACGCTTTATCTAATCGTCATGTATCGAAAACCAGGTGATTATATTTTTTTTTTTTTTTTTTGTAATTTTTTTTAAGGTCGCACCTGTCCCCTTTATTAGTGGTGCAGAAGGCACCAACCAATTTATTGTGCGATGAAAATTGGTAAAGATATAACAAAACATTTTTTCACACGATGTAATCCTATATAATTTCATGTGAAAGAAGAAAAGAAAAAATACATGGATTGTTAATTCTAATTTTTTTTTTATCCAGTAAATATCAATTTTACGTTTTTTTTCTTTCTTGGCTGAAATTTGCCTTGTACATAACAGGCAAAATTATTAATTTTTATTAACTTTTCCAAGAAGAGCAATCCAGTTTTTGTCTTTTTGTCAAATTTTTTTTTTTAAATTTCGAATTTCACCACTTTAAAGAAAAAGATTTAAACAAGAGGGAATCACAAAATAATTATTTATTAAAATTTCCCGCAGATGTAAATTGGGGCTCAACAACGCAGGCCCAGACGTATTCGGCTGCGATGGGCCAGTTGCAGAAACTGGATTCGCAGCAGGAGCACGTCAAAAATTATCGTCCTCAGATTCTCCTTTTGTGCGGCAAACCCTCAGCCAGACCCACCTTGATCGACTTTGCAAACCTCGTGACCAAAAACTTGGCACTTTTGATCTGCGGAAATATTGAAAAGGTATTTATATAGAAGATGAAAATTTCGTGAGATTGAAAACTAAACTTGGAATGGGGGGGAAAATAGACCTCGTACACCCATAAAGCGAGAATCGTGGTTAGCGACCGTGGCAACAGGTGGTTACACGAGCACCAGAAGATCAAAGCTTTCTACGCCGTCGTTGACGGAATGAACTTTGAAGAGGGTGCTCGGGCTTTAATTCAGGCCTCAGGCGTCGGCAAGATGAAGCCCAACATTCTTCTTATGGGATACAAGGCTGACTGGAAAAATTGCAACGCTGATGACTTGAAAGAATACTTCTCCGTTCTCTCGTAAGCCTAGTTTAAAAAAATCTAATACTAATTTCACTTTAAATATAAAAATATTCATACACTCAAATACATATAATTTTTCTATAATAGTAGAAATAATATGGGATCGTTATGTGTGAATCAAATGAATAGAGCAAGATGAGAAAATAATTGAAAATATTATTTTCAGAATTATATTCAAGAAATTGTAAGCTATCTGGAAAAAAAATTTGTTGAAAGTATTTTTCAGAAGAATCAGTATTCTGAAGTTAAAAGATAATTTTGATGACTTCTTCAGTAATTTTTTTTAGTTTCTCACGTTTTCTGATATTGCATTTTCTGAAATTTGGGGATCCGCTTAGTTAGTGAAAATACCTTTTTCAATTTAAATTTAATTAATTTACTTCTAATTAGTGGTGAAAGATTAAAACGCTTGAAAAAGGAAAATTTAAGATCAAAAGGAATTTAGGTTTATTATAAAGAATTATATTAATCATCTCTCAAAATGCCATTGAAGGATTAAACGATTATAACAAACTGGAAAAATAATAAGAATCAGTTATGGAAACTGAAAATAATTTTTGAACAAATTTTAAAGAGCAATTTTTATATAAAAAAAAACACTTTACCTTACATTTCCTTTTTTTTCAAAAATTTTAAATATTAATTGCACTTAAGGACCGCACTGGACAACCACATGGGCATCGCCATCCTGCGCACCAGAGATGTGATGGACTACACAGGGGTGATTGCCGGCGAAGAGGAAATGGATCAGTTGTATGCGCAAAAGATGCAGCCCCACAACGACCTCTCGAAGGCAGAGTCCGGAGTTAGTGGTAAGAATTGTGCCTGCGGCTGGTCGGTCGCGACACCTGGCGAAAAGGAAACCGCGACCGATAAGGTGGCGTCTGAAATCGAAAGTTATCGGAGCACGCGGCAAAAGTCCGACGGCCTAGATTTGTTCGTGATTGCCTTATCAGTGGGTGCGCGGGCTTATGTAATTAGCAAGAGTGCACGAGTGCAAACCAATTTGCACCTGCCGCTCGGCTTGCGAGAAAGATGTTGAGCGAGCCAAGGCTTGGATTTTTTTTCATTTGATGCAGAGTGAAGATATTAAACTTTCCTAAAATACATTGCTATTTATCAAAAGAATTGCAATGCACAACAAGATATATCAAAGTATTTTGAGATAAATTTTAAATTTCTTGATACGTTAAAAAAAAAAGAGAAAATGTATGTACGTCTTTAGTTTTTACAAAACACTGATGCCCTATTTGAAAGCAAAAAACAAACAATAAGAAAGTTTCTAAACACTATGCATAGAACACAAGTCCTTTTACATTTATTTCTTAACGTAACTTGACGGTGCCTTCTTGTAAAAGGAGGTGTTATTTCCTTTTTTTAATATTAAAAAGAAAGCGTGAAATAATTATTTGTTAAATTGAATGCATTTATTGGGATCTTTTTAGGAAGAGGCTTATTAAAGTCGATTTTTAAGTACAGACTGAATAAAATTAATATAATTAAATTTATACAATTGCTTCTGCAAAATTTAAAAAAAAAAATTAGAATTTTTACTATTAACTCATAAACTGCTTCAGTTTTAGGAATTCAGATGATTTATTATAGGTATAATTAAAAACAATTATTTTTTAAATAATTGTTTTTCAAAAATTGAATGTAAACAATGTATTTATAACAATGTGGACACATAAACAACAATAATAATAATAAGTTATTGCAATATATTTTCATCAAAATTTATTCATTTGGTCTTTGATTATACTTTTGTAAGTTGATTTCACATGATTATTTATGCCCCGAAACAAAAACACTTGTGAATAGAAAAAAATAGATTTTTCGCATTCTGAAACGGCTAATAATGATTCATTATGACATAATATAATGTATGAATATTTTTCCAGTTTCTTCAGAAATGACTCCTCCTGCTACCCCAGAAAACGCGAGAATTACGTCCGACATTGTTGTCATGTCCAAAGATGACAAAAAGAAGGCAAAAAAGAAGGACAATGAACTGGATTACAAGTAAAAAATATAATATTCGAGAAAATTAATTTCAATATAAATTATCAGGAGCACCGGTGGAGGCGATTTGCCGCAGGAGGTGATTGACAACCTGAACCAGTTTATCAGCAAGAAAAAGAACGGTTGCATTGACGTGTGGTGGCTTTACGATGACGGAGGACTCACCCTGTTGCTTCCCTACATCATCAATTCCAGGAGCAACTGGGAAAACTGCCGCCTCAGAGTTTTCGCCCTCGCCAACTCCAAGGACGACCTTGAAATGGAGCAAATCAGGTATAAAAATGCACATTATTATGAGGAAAATGTATTAAACGTTGATTTTTAGTATGGCCAACTTGCTGTCCAAGTTCAGAATCGACTACTCTGATCTGATCATGATTCGCGAAATCACCAGAAAGCCACAGGATTCTAGCAAGGCGTTCTTCAAACACCTAATTCAAGACCTAAGAGCACCTAAAGGACTCCCTGCTGACGCTGAGGGAAAAGGTAAATCTTTCAGAAAACTCGGTTACAATTTATTTATTGAACTTGTTGAATTAGAGGGAAAAATTTCGGACGCTGAACTGCAGGCAAATAGAGAAAAAACTGGACGGCATTTGAGGCTGCGTGAACTTTTGCAGGAAAATTCCAAACAATCCAATTTGGTCGTCATGTGAGTGGTCATTTTTTATTTTCGGTGTCAATTTATTTTATATTTCAAGTTAAAATTGATTTAAGATTTAGTACTATTTTCCACATCATAATGGAGAAAAAAATAAAATTAAGACTATTTTTATTTTTAGGACAATGCCACTGCCTCGAAAGGGAGTGGTTTCGGCACCCCTGTACATGTCCTGGCTGGAGACCCTGACAAGAGACATGCCGCCCTTCCTGCTTGTCAGAGGCAACCAATCTTCCGTCCTGACATTCTACTCGTAAATCTTGGCACAAATTTCAAAGTTGCACCCTATACCAGCATGACTTGTACAAACGGTTACTGATTAATTAATCACTATAACTGTATAGTATTTTTTTTAGTTGTTCGAAACTGTATCATATTTTGAAAAACTACTGTTGTCCTTTTGCAACGTGTTTTGTAGAAACACAAATACAAAGTTATGTTAGCCCTAGAACTGCATCACTGTTGTAATTTATGCGTTAAGTTAATAAAAAAAGACATATTTAGTGGAAGTAAAATATTTAATTTTAAATTTTCTAGCCATGACTGGCGTCCATCCCCTTGCATTTTGATTTATAAATCTAATAATAAAACACAATTATTTGCAACTGAATCAAAAAATGGATAGAAGATGTGCATTTATTTCAATTCTAGATGGAATAAAACTTTTTTATGATCTTGTTTGAATAAATCTAAATTTCATACTCGAGAACTGCTTGTAACTTTGATAATGAATTCTCGTCAAAATTTGACGGATTTATTGACTTCCAAATGTTCCGAAACGAAAGCCATAATTGCAGTATAATCAGGGCTACCTCAAAATGATAGGAAATGCAGATACAAATCACTACCATCAAAATGACATACAAAGGGAATTTTCTTGGTGGTCACTTGTTAAGGCAACTTCACTGCAGTTGCGTCTGTTCCACACCTCTGAAAGAAAATTTACACCTCAGTTTGCAGCTGGACTCTAATTGAAAGTTTAATTAGTTGGATATCAGAGTCACGCGCTTACTGAAAATACAAGCGTGTAAAAAAATGTATTTGACCAATAATTTTTTTATTAAATAAAAGGGTAGGCAGCAAAATTTAAATAAAAATATCTCTCCCCTACGATATAAGAGAAATTTAACTTTCTTCAAAATATCTAGCAAAAATTTTAACCATCAACTGGTGTTGGTGAATTAATTTATTATTGAAAAATAAATTTTGTGTCAAAAATTAGCTTATTTAATTGAGTTTAGAGGATTTTGCTCGCTCAGATCTCTAGTAACTTAGGCATGATGGCCGCGCTATAAAAGGAAGGTGCGAGGATTTTCTCACATCTCTTGCCACCTGAGCGGCAGGGATGGACAGCAGCAGATTCAGCGTGCGTCAAGTTATTGAAACTCGGCGCCGCAACAGTAATATGGCAGACGTTCCTGAAAACGGCGTCCTCGAAACGAATCTCTCAATGGACCCGCAGCCCTCGGCGGCCCACCTGGGGCCCCGAAGATCCCTTGTCCACATGACGCGCGAGGCGTTGCCTCGCATGGACAATTACAGGAATCTGCTTTCGATTCAGGCGGCGCAACGACCCACCCTTGGCGAACTGCATGAAGGGGTCAAGGATGATAAGGTATCCTCCATGATAATTTAACTGCTAAATTTTAAGATTGTTTAATTTATTAGTCAATTCTTGTTAGAGATTAATAATAATAATAATTATTATTTTTCAAATAACAAATAATTTTATAGAGAAAATGCTTCTAGAAATTTTGTAGAATTACTATTTAGCTCGAATTTTTTTATTGTTAAATTTTCAATTTTTTTTAAATCAATTGATAAAAAAGGCCCAGCTAGAATTAACATTGATTTCTGTTAATTTAAACAATAGTTTAAAAACCACAACTTAAAACATGCTAGAAATAATTAAATTTAAACAAATTAAATTCTAAACTACTTCTTTAAAGTATTATAACAGCTTTTTTTAAATGATTATAGGATGAGCCCACTGGTGAGGCGCACGGTGGAGGCGGACACCACTTTAAACTGGGGTGGATTCAGGGCGTTCTCATCCCTGTTTTGCTCAACATTTGGGGTGTGATGCTTTTCCTTCGTTTGTCATGGGTCGTAGCTCAGGCAGGCGTTAGTGAGTTTTGAAGCGAATATAAAATTAAACAATTATTGAAACTTTACATTTGAAAAGCGATGTCTCTGGTCATCATTGGAATTTCGGCCGGCGTTTGTGTCATCACAACCCTGTCCCTGTCAGCAATTAGTACTAACGGAGAAGTGAAAGGAGGTTTATAAAAACCAAGAAATAATGATTGGCGCAATTATGGAAATGTTCTAATACAGGTGGAATTTACTACATCATTTCGCGTTCTCTTGGCCCGGAATTCGGCGCCTCGGTTGGAATTGTGTTTGCGTTTGCTAACGCCGTTGCCGCCTCGATGAACACAATTGGTTTTTGCGACTCGCTGAACGATTTGCTGAAGTCGCACGGCCTGAAAATAATCGATGGCGGCATTAACGACGTCCGACTTGTGGGCATGATCGCCCTGGTTATCATGATTGTCATTTGCGCCGTCGGAATGGAGTGGGAAGTCAAAGTAGGTCAAAATACTCTATAAAAATTGAAATATTTTAAAATAAATTTCAAGGCGCAAAACGTGCTGGTCGTAATTATTTCTGGAGCAATTGTGGACTTTATCGTGGGCACACTTCGCGGGCCTCAGAGCGACGAGCAAATCGTAAAAGGATTTCCTGGATGGAGCTGTAGGTTCTTCATTAAATATTCAGAATATTTGTCAAACTTTTTTAATTTCCTCTCCAGTTGATCAACTGGGAAAAAATATGGGCACTGACTACCGTTTCAGCGAGGGCGTTAATCAAGATTTCTTTTCCGTCTTCGCCATTTTCTTTCCTTCTGTAACAGGAATTCAAGCCGGGGCGAATATTTCTGGCGATCTGAAGGTACGAATAACAATAAAAATTTCTTTACATTGTTTTTAAAATGTATTCATTTCATTTTTAGGACCCAGCCTCCGCAATCCCGAAGGGAACTTTACTCGCTCTGGCCATTTCTATGTTTTCCTATGGACTTTTCGTCATTCTTGCCGGAGGTGGTGCCCTGAGGGATGCCAGTGGAATGGTGGAGGAGCTGGCAAATGGCACTTATGTTAATTGCACTGCACGCCATTGCGAATATGGTCTCCAAAATAGCTATTCCGTAATTTGAATGAAAAAAAAATGATTCATTTAAAATCAGTGAATTTTGACAATTATTTTAGGTTATGCAACTCATGTCTGTCTGGGGCCCTTTCATTTACGCCGGCTGCTTTGCGGCCACTTTGTCAACCGCCCTTACTAACTTGCTGTCCGTGCCCAAACTGGTTAGGGCGCTTGGCTACGACAAGATCTATCCTGGTTTGATTTTCTTCTCCAAGGGATACACAAAAAAGGATGAACCATTCCGAGGATATGTGCTGACCTTTATTATATCAGGCGCCTTTCTACTGATTGGTAAGTTTGAATTCTAATACAAAATAAAAATAATAAAACTGGTTATTAAAAATTAGCACTTGAGAAGCATGTCATACAAAAATCGAAAACACACTAAAAAAGTTCCTTAAAAAAAATGAAAGAAAAAAACGCAGATAAATATTTTTCTCTTCTTCACAATCTCAAAAAAACAATTTTTAAATTATTAGGAAAAAGATCCAAATAATTAAAAATTTATGAATTTCAGCCGAGCTTAATGTAATTGCACCCCTGATTTCAAACTTCTACTTGGCCTCATACGCACTGATTAATTTCTGCACTTTCCACGCCGCTTTCGTCAAACCGATTGGTTGGAGGCCAACGTTCAGAGTAAGAATATTAAAAAATATTTAATATCAATTTAAAAAAAAATATATATAAATTTAATTAGTTTTACAATAAATGGTTGAGCCTAATTGGATTTATCGTCTGTGTGGCCATAATGTTCCTGATCAGTTGGGTCACCTCACTAATTACCTACGTCATTATAATAGCCCTGTACCTTGTGGTGGTCTACAGAAATCCAGGTTGGCAATTTTTAAAATTCACTTTTTGTTTAAATGAACCCTTGTTTTAAAAATTTGGATAGACGTAAACTGGGGCTCTTCAACTCAGGCGCAGACCTACAACACGACGCTTGGTGCTGTTTACAGTTTGAATCAGACCAGCGAACACGTAAAAAATTACAGACCCCAAATTTTACTGCTTTCCGGAAACCCCACGGCGAGACCTGCCGTTATGCAACTTGCCTCGCAAATCACCAAAAACTTATCTCTGCTTTTGTGCGGAAAAATCAGTGAAGTACTATTAATATTGCAATGATGTTTTAAATATTTAATTTGATTCAAAATTTAGAAAGAGTTGACCTACGTACAGAGATCGAAATGCATCAGCGATGCGAATAAATTTCTGGAGGCCAACAAAGTTCGAGCATTTTTCACAGTGGTTGACGGCTTGAATTTTGAACAGGGAGCCCGAGCCCTTCTACAGGCAACGGGAATTGGAAAATTGCGGCCAAACGTTTTACTTATGGGCTACAAAAATGAGTGGCTACTCGCACCAAACGCTGAACTGCACGAATACTTCAACGTTTTGCAGTAAAAAGATCAATTTTTAATTTAAAACTCATTTGACTGCTAAATTAAACCTAAAAAAAATTATATTCTGCACACAATTATCGTCGTATTAGAATTTAATTTTCTTTTAATAAATCAAATTTTTTTTATCAGTGAAGCGTTTGATAATCGACTGGCCGTGGCTATTTTGCGAGTGAGAGGTGGACTGGACTTCAGTCAATTCACAGAACATGAAGAGGAGCAAGAAAGTGGTGCAAATGGAGGGAATCACAGTGCGCCCAGTTTGGCCAGAGTTGCGTCGGACAATTTCATCAACCTGGGTACGCCGTGGTGTTAAAATTTAAAAAAGTGTTTTTCAAAGTTAAAATTTCAGCTTACGAATCGACCGAGGGGCCTCTGAACCACAAGTACGTTTTAAATTCGGCCAAAGCTGTAGAGAGAACCCCACAGGAAATCCTCAGGCACAAGAGAAAGACGCAGTCGCTTGAGAAAAACTTGTTCAGGTTTTCATAAATTTGAATATAAGTTTTGCTTTTGCGCCACAAACTTTTGAATTTGTCACAAAAATACTAGAAATATTTTCATAGAATTCACTTTAAATTTAAATAATTAATTAATATTAAAAAAAAAATCTAGTTTTTTTAAAATTAATTTAAAATTTTCAACCCAAAATTGTTGCAGTGGAGCCAATGGCAACCCTCTCCCTCACGAAGTGCTGCAGTGTGTTGCAATTTTTGATTCGCCACCGAAGAAAGGAACCATCGACGTCTGGTGGTTATATGATGATGGAGGTGAAAAGTTTCTCATATCTTTTCTGAAAAAGTTTCACATTTTCCCTCATCATTCAGGATTAACCCTTCTTTTGCCATACATTTTAACAACAAGACACAACTGGTCTGGGTGCCGGCTGCGAATTTTCGCCCTCGTCAACAAAAAGGATCAGTTTGAAGTGGAAGAGCGAAAGTAATGAATTGAAATAATAATTTTCAGTATTTATATTACAAAATAATTCTGATTTCAGTATGGCCAGCTTGCTTTCGAAATTCAGAATCGACTACGCTAGTCTGACCATGATTCACAACGTTAGTGAAAAACCGCACCCAAGCACAAACATGTTTTTCGAGGAGATCATTAAGCCCTTCCGGGAGAGACCTGGAGCTGCTGACGGTAATAAACAAAATACTTCTCTGGCAAACAAGGTAAACTTTTCTGCATAAATAGCCGATGTTGTGAAAGCTTCTGAACTTATCGCGTTGAAATACAAAACGGAGAGGCAGTTGCGATTGCGCGAGCTTTTGCTCCAGCACTCTAAGGATGCCAATTTGATTGTTATGTAAGTTTGACAGATTATTTTTTCAAGTAACTTTCTTATTCAAGTATTCGGTCCAGGACCATGCCAATGCCGAGAAAAGGAGTCGTTTCAGCGCCTCTGTACATGGCTTGGCTGGAGGTTTTGTCGAGGGACATGCCGCCCTTCATGCTGGTCAGAGGAAATCAAACTTCAGTTCTGAGCTTCTACGCGTAGAATCTTTTGAATGTAAAACTTATTTTAAGTGATTTTAAGGTTCAAGGAATATAATTAATCCCATGTTTGTAGCCAAAACACACTAACGAAATATGTCTCATTTCACCAGTTTTCATCCAGAATAATTTTTAGACATGTTAACAATAGAAACTGTTATTTATATTATGCAAGAGAAGTTAAACTTTTAACAATAATATTTTGCTCGAATTCAGCTTCTTAAATGGTTTTTAATTGTTTCAGTTAAAATTGTAAGTTAATTTTATAATCATTTTAAAACATTAAATAAAAGAAATTGTTTAAATTTATCTCCCAATAAAATGTTCATTTGCACAAACATAAATAAAAAACTGTTGTTTGACGAAATAAAAGTTTTTCAGTCAGAACACGTGTCATATTTCAATTAAATTTTCACCTTCAACTCGCAATGGTAAAGATTTCAAAGAAATTCAAAAATTTCAAAGAAGAATGAAAAAATTTCTAATTAATCTATTTCAATTATGATTATATGATGTCATTTTTTCCTGACTTTTGACATTGAAACAGCTGCCCGACTCAATTTCTCAGGTGACCGTGAGAATTCACCTAATTAAAATTCGCAAAACGAAAAATGTTCCCAGCCGAGTGCTTGAAGTCAACTCGAGCAATCGCATTTAAGTGCCGCACATTAAAACATATCCTAGAGTTGCTCGATTGTATGCTTATTGTGGCTATGAAGGGGTTTGTGTTTTTAGTTTTGATGGTGACACTGAAAACCGCTGTCTGGAGCCAACAACAAGTGAGTTAATGAAAAATTTATAATATAATTATAATTGAAAAATTAAATCGAGTCAATTATTTTATGGCAAATAAAAATTTAGAATGAAGCAGATGATTTTTGCGTACTGAAGGCTGATTTAATCATGGAAAATTTGAAATTAAGGTAAATAAGGAAATAACATTTTGTCCAGGTTTTCACTTCTAATTATGTGTGCATAAATACAAATTAAAAATGTTCCAGGAACGTACACTATGGAGTAAGAACAAATATTTGATAATTAAACTATTTTATTCAATCTAACAGCAACAGGAAAATTTTTCTGAAATTTCGGAGGAAAAGTTTGAAACGCTTCGTGACCTCATCGGAGTAAAATAATTTTTTGAAAGTGAATGAAGTAAACGAAAAATTTCTCATTTATGTAGGAGATAAGCAGCACACAGAAGAAATTTCAAAGCACTCTGGATAAATTACAACTCATGACTGAAAATTTACAATTAGAAATGAGTTCAGTTATTAACAAAATTGACACGGTAAGCAACTGATTGTGAGAAAATAATATTTCATCTTTGAAGTTTCTCAGACAACAATTAGCAAGTGTCACAAATCAAGTGAGCTTTGAGATTTTACTTGTACTAATCAGGTGCTAAATTATTTATATAAAATCACAGAAGACCTCAGCAATATTGTGCACTTCAAAACAGGAAGTTTCTACATCCACTATACAATTAGCAGAGTGAGTTTTGGAATTTGAAAACCAGCTACGTTCAGCAAATATAATCTCGTTTTCTCGCAAACCGATAACAGCATACTTGGAATGAAGCACAAGAGTTCTGTGGAAAATTTAATATGCGGCTGGTTATAATTGACTCTGAACAAAAATTGGAAGACCTTACTGAATTGATCAAAACAAACAGCACAGGATCTTCAGGCTAGTTTTTATATAATACACTTTACGATAATAATTTTGATTAATTTTGATATTACAGCGCTTAGGTATAGACTATCTTACTGGGTTGGAGCAAACGACATTGGGCGAGAACCAGGCGATTTTAAATGGACGAATGGCGATGAAATCAACAGAAAACTTCCAGCCAGACTTTTTACATCTCAACATAAAAATGAAACTTGCTTGAGAATGACATACTGTCACAAAGCTAGAAAATACGAGTTAACAGATTTAAGCTGCTCTTCCTACATATATTTCATCTGCGAGATCCTACCTGAGTGCATCCCGAATTTATTAAAATCATAAATGAGTCATTCAGCTCCCACTGTTTTCATAATGATCTTAATTTTTTCTTTTATATTAATTGCTTTCAAATTGGACTTTATTTCAAATGAAACTTTTTTTAATTCTCTTCCTATTTATAATATCAGCTTTTTAGACACTCCATGCTAAAAATAGTAAAAATGCTAAATTTTTGTAAAAAAAAAACTTGATTTAAAACAATATTAAAAAAAATCTGCATTCTTTAATTACTATTACTTTTAAATGAAATTTGTAAGCCAAAAATTACTTAATTTTGTTTCTTTCAGAACTAATTGCCGACACGTTTTTACGCATTTTTTATGACATAATCTAGCAAGTAGTATCTCTCCCAGCAGGCGTCCTGTTTCCCTTGTGAGAGATAATCGTCAGGTATAAAAGAGTTTTAAGGCGACGAAAGTCAGTTTGGACGATGACTGAAAGGTTCGAGGTGAGGGGAACAAATCCGCCACCGCCACCCCTCGTCATGCAGGAAACGAGTTTTGCAAATGGCAACGCCAACACGGTCACGCCACGCAAAAGGTCGTTGGCCCAGATGACCCGCGATGTGCTGCCCCGGATTGACAACTACCGAAACCTCATGTCCGTGGCCGCCGTCCAAAGACCTACCTTTGGCGAGCTGTATGAGGGAGTTGAGGAGGAAAAGGTCAGAAAATACCATTAGAGACAAAATTTGATTTCATTAACGTTATATAAAAATGACTAAATTAATGATTAAATTAACTAGCTGCTCAATAAATAACTAACAGCATTTTATGCATCTAATACGTATTATGTTGTAAAAAAAACACACATCTTAACAATTCTCAGCAAAAAGTCAAATTCTTTTTTAAATTGACTAAAAAATTCATTCTGGTTGAGATTTTTGGACTTAATCTGTTTTCTTCTGTTGAATTTTAATTTGTAGTAATCTAGAATTTGTGTGACATAATGTTTGTATAAAATTTAATATAAATTTCAAACAAATGATTTTTTTGTGATAAAGAGAAATTCATTTGTCAATTATAGTGATTTTTCTTCTTTGAAAATAACTTGTTTTATAAGTTTTAAAACCAAAATAACAAATAACAATAAAATCAAAACATTATTAATTTTATTTTACTCCTGTTTACACTGAGATAAAAAAATTTTATGAGCAGTAAATGGCTTATATAGACTTTTTGCTTCATAACGACTAAACCTGGAAAATTTCACCTAAATTTGACTCTTCCTTATTTAAAAAAAAAACTCAATTTGGTTCCAAAAATTCTTTGAAAAACAAAATATTGATAACTATAAAAAATTTCATAAATATGAAAGCTTTAAAATGAATTCAATTGATCAAGTAACCTTTTTCTAAAAACCAAAAGTGATGGAAAAAATTGACAAAACTGTTTAAACCTGTCAATTTTCCATTAAAAATTTTTAAAATAATATTTTTTGCTCAATAACTATCTACTAAATTTATAAATCACATTTTCCAGACGGATCAACCAGCATCTGGACATGAAGCTCAGGGACACGTTAAATTAGGCTGGATCCAGGGCGTCTTTTTATCAGTGGCTTTAAATATTTGGGGTGTCATGCTTTTCTTGCGTGTCTCTTGGGTCGTCGGTCATGCTGGAATCGGTAAAAGATTGACACACACAAATTGAAAATAAATTTCACGTTGCATATTGTATAGGCTTGGCCTTGGTCATCATTGCTTTTTCCGCTTTTGTGTGCACAGTGACCACCCTGTCCCTCTCCGCGATCAGTACGAACGGTGTGATCAAAGGAGGTAAATTTTAAAATGGCAGTCGAGAGTTTCAAAATTTCTAATTCAAGCCGTCCCCAGGTGGAATCTACTACATCATTTCGCGGTCCCTGGGCCCTGAGTTCGGCGCCTCGGTCGGTTTGGTTTTTGCCTTTGCCAACACAGTTTCCGCCTCGATGAACACAATTGGATTTTGTGACTCGCTTAACTCTTTACTGAAACAACAAGGATACAAAATCATTGACAACAGCGTCAACGACAGCCGGATCATTGGAAGTGCCACTGTCGTTATTCTTATTGTCATTTGTGCTGTGGGAATGGATTATGAAGTCATTGTGAGTATTTGCCTTTTTACCCCGATATTACCGTTTTTATCTTTAAATCCCGTACAGTGAGAAAAACTCAAGTTCTCCCCGTGATAAGATTCTCTTAAACGTTTATTTGCTCATTTATTGAAGCTCATATATTTTACGCCACATTGAAAATTTGATGAGTCATTTATTTTTTATTTTGATTTTACTTGAGTCATATTAATGAAAATGAATCAATTTTCTCTTCATCATTTTTTCCTCACAGACATAAAAAACCACGCGTATCACTCACAGAAAGTTTTGAAAAATATCAACGCGTAGGAAATTTAGTACTAATTTGCTAAATAATATTTTTTTTCAGGCCCAAGACGTTTTTGGTGTGGTAATTGTTGGTGCAATAGTCGATTACTGCGTGGGCGTTTTCATGGGGCCTCAAAACGAAGTTGCATATGCTCAAGGCTTTGTCGGCCTAAATGGTGCGTCAGTTAAAATTTGCTAAAATAAAGATTTTCACTGTTTACATTTGTTTATAGTATCGGTGTACGCTGAAAATATAGGACCTGGATTTCGGTTCAGCGAGGGCGTTAATCAGAACTTTTTCACGGTTTTCTCGATTTTCTTCACCTCTGTGACGGGTGTGCAGGCTGGTGCCAACATTTCCGGCGATCTCAAGGTGCGGCAAAAAGTTTTTTGTCAGTATCAAACATTGATTGCAAATTTTCTTAACAGGATCCTGAGGGTGCAATCCCAAAAGGCACCCTTTTAGCTATCTTGATGACCATGCTTTCTTACGTTCTGTTTGTGCTACTCGTGGGTGGTGGGCAGTTGAGAGAAACGAGTGGTATTGTTGAAGAGGTTGCCAATGGAACATTTACCGACTGTACATACAGAAAGTGCAGTTACGGGCTTTACAACGATTATTCGGTACAGTATCAATGCATTTTGTAAAAAAATCATCTTACTTAAAAAGGCGTTATCATATTTTTCATGATATTATTTATTGTTTAGTTGTAAAACCTAAACCTCTAGAAATGCAGAAATTGGTTTTAAAAATTATAATCTTAAAATTAACTATTGAGCGTATCTATAACCGTCTTGCTCGTTTCAGTTTTGAGAGAAAACTTTGATAAATGCTGAATTGAGAAAAGTATCTTTAAACTTTGAACACGTCAAATTTTCATCACGTCATATTATTTCTAGAGTAAAATTAACTTCGTTTTTTTGCCGCAGGTAATGCAGCTAATGTCTGCGTGGGGCCCTTTCATATACGCAGGCTGTTTTGCAGCCACGTTATCGACAGCCATGACAAATTTGCTATCAGTGCCGAGAATTATCCAGGCGTTGGGCAATGACGGAATCTACCCAGGAATCTCTTGGTTTGGGAAGCCCTACGGCTTGCACGGAGAACCCTACCGCGCGTATGTGCTCACTGCGCTCGTCTCCATCGCGTTTGTTTTGATCGGTGAGTTGCAAAAAGTGACAAAAACAAAACTGGCCATTCGATAAACTAGATAAACAAAACAAAAAATTTCGCAATGCAATAGAACCTGTCCAAACTTGTATTTTTCTTTGGAAATTTTAACAGTCATTTGTTTACAGCCGATCTCAATGCCATTGCAAATCTTGTGTCCAATTTCTACTTGGCCGCATACGCTTTCATCAATTTTTGCACGTTTCACGCTGCTTTTGTCAAGCCGCTTGGATGGAGACCAACTTTTACGGTAAACACCTAAACTTAACTCTGCCTTTTGAAACTGAAATTAATTAATTTACAGTACTACAACAAATGGCTGAGCTTGATAATGACATTCATCTGCATCATTCTGATGATTTTGATTGATTGGATCATGGCCCTTATTACAGTAGGCGTCATCGCACTGCTTTACTTCTTTGTCGTGTATCGCAAACCAGGTAAGATTTAGATAGGCAACGTGCGTTACAAGCATGCTCTACCAGTTGCATAAATTAATTTTTTTATTTCAATACTGGTGCAGAAAAAATACTTATACATTTATGTATAGCAAAAAGTTGATCACCAAATATTGTTCAGAAAATTTAAATTCAATTTTTTTCTCTTCTATAAAAATTCACTATAAGACTTAAGTGAGAAAATGAATTAAAATTAATCAAAAATCAAAACAATACTTTCCTCACATTAGATGTTAACTGGGGAGCCTCAACTCAGGCTCAGACTTACAACACCACGTTGAGTGCCGTCCAGTCCCTCAACAACATCGAGGATCACGTCAAAAATTACCGGCCGCAAATTTTGGTGCTCGCAGGACACCCAACCAGCAGACCGGCGCTTCTCGACTTTGCAAACTTGATCACAAAACGACTTTCTCTTTTGATCTGCGGCTGTGTTTCTCCAGCAAGTTGAAATAAATCATATGCCATTAAAAAATTTACGTCCGTGTGTCCAATTTTCAGCAACCCTTGTCGCACAGAGAGCGCCAGTCAGCTGTGAATTCGGCCATCCAGTTCTTCAAAGAGCGAAAAATGCGCGCCTTTTTCTCTTTGGTCGACAGCTTATCGGTCGAGATGGGCACCAGGGCTTTGCTGCAAGCGTCCGGTATTGGAAGGATGAAGCCAAATATTTTGCTCATGGGCTACAAAGCCGAGTGGCAAGTGAGCACGCCAGAAGATGTGGTCGAATACTTTGACATTTTGCAGTGAGTAAAAAAAAACTGCTTAAATAATGAAAAAAATCATCATTTAAAAAAAAAAACAGCGATGCTTTTACAAACCGAGTTTCCATTGCGATTGTTCGGCTGAAGACTGGTTTGGACAACGGCCAAAGTGTGATTGGATCAAAGGGCAGCTACCAAGCGTTCCCAAGGGTTGATTCTGAGGGTTGCTTCATAAACGAGGGTATGAGATTTCATATCTGAAGTATTGTTTGCTGATCCAGTTATAGGTTTCAGTGAAAGTGAAATTCCGGAGAGTCCAGCCCTTCATCGATACAACCTCTCAACGCATCTAACTCCTGAGAATCCAGTTGGAAAAGGCAAGAAGAGTCCAGCAGCCAGTTATATTAATATGTACAGGTTAATTTTGGGTTATGATTTGTAAGACAGAGTAATTAATTTAAATTTTATGTGAATTTCATTAGGGGAATGGAAGAGGGTCCAACTGTATCGACAACAGCAATGGAAACGGATTCAATCTTCCTGAGAAAACAGAAAAAGGGTACTATAGACATTTGGTGGCTTTACGACGACGGAGGTAAAAATTTCAAACTTTTATATTCAAACCACCTAATTTTGATAATTTACAAGGTTTGACTCTGCTTCTTCCGTACATAATTTCAACAAGAAAGAAGTGGGCAGGATCAAAATTGAGAATTTTCACACTCATTGACAAAAAAGATGAAATGCAAATTGAGGAGAGAAAGTAAATAACTTTGCAATATATTTTACCAGATTTAATAAATATCTCCTAGTATGGCGAGCCTTCTTTCAAAATTCCGTATTGATTATGCAAATCTAACCATGGTCCACGATGTGAGTGAAAAGCCACACCCAAAAACGGCCCGTTTGTTTGAGGATATCATAAAACCTTTCAGAGAGGACAACAGCCCTACAAGCTCGAAGGACAACAGTAAAAATTTCGACTGATGCAATTCCGTATTTCAATCTTGCATTTTTTGAATCTAGAATTCTTCATTTCTGATTCTGAACTCAAACTTCTGGTGAACAAGACGGAGCGGCAGCTACGTCTCAGGGAGCTTTTGCAGCAACACTCGCGAGACTCAAACATGATTGTGATGTAAGGACAACATAATATGATAAGAAAACGTGTAAAAATTAATTTCCCAAACAGGACGATGCCCATGCCGAGAAAGGGCGTCGTTTCGGCGCCACTCTACATGGCGTGGCTAGAGGTTCTGACCAGGGACATGCCACCCTTCATGCTGGTCAGAGGCAACCAAACCTCAGTGTTGAGTTTCTACGCTTAAATTTTCGTAAAAATCTGATAACATCTCAGTATAAATATAATGAATTAATGGAATTGTGATTGTAATTTTATGATCATATAAAATCTGATCTTGTAAATAATAAAAATATTAACTAAATTAGAAAATAAAACCTATAGTAAAAGTTAATTCTTTTTAAAATGCAATAAAATAAAATTATTGGAATTCCTCATTTTCATATTTATATCAAACTGCAAATGTGCACAAGCTGAAGTTTTTTCCCAATTGAAATTTTTGATGCATTACACTGAAAGTTGATAAATTAAGAGTAAAATGACAGTAAATTTTCAGAAACATGTGATAAATCAAAATTTATTTTGAGAAGGTACGAAGCGACCCTTGATTGGATAACAAGTCTGTAAGTAAATTGTGGTGGAACCTTCAATCTGCATGAATAAACTCGTGGTATCACAGACGCGACACATGGCGTGCATTACGTTTTTAATGAACTAGATTGAAGATAATGACCAAGAAAAAGGTCCGGCAGCTCTTTCCATCCTCGAGAGACAGCTCAAAATTTATGTTGAGAGTCAACGACATGAGTGGAATGCAAAAATAAAATTTAGTAACTAAAAATGTCAAATGATACTAAATAATTTTAAAAATTTTAAGTTAAAATCAGATATATTTTTTAAAGATTAAAACTTTCAAAAAAATATAAAAAGCTAAATTTCTTGAAAGGAAGTGAGCTCAAGTGGCTCATCGGGCAATTGCAGCTCCTCCCGCGCGCGCCGCTTCACTCTAATTAGGGCCACGTTTAATTTCAATTGGAATGGGCTCCGACCGACCTAATTTGAATGAGCAACGCTTGCCCAACGCACCGAGTGAGCAAATAATCGTCTTATCGCGCGCCGCAGAAATATACGGCGCGCGGGGTTTAAGGTGCCTCGCCGAAAGTTCGGCGCGTGACGTTCGCCACCCTTCAAATATTGTTCCTGCCCATAAATCACAACCGAGAGCGGCTTTCGTTCGTTCGTTCGCATTTTAATTGCTACCGCCTGCATCTTCGCTGGCTTAGTTAATAGGACGAGGCGCATCAACTTTTAATTCCTGAACAATTTGGTTTTGATTGCGTCGCCTCCCAACGCTAATGTTTGTGCCTGGCCGGTTGTTTTTCGCATCGAAAATTGTTTTCTAGTTGGATTAAAACTAGATAATTTACAAAATTATTATTATTGCTTTGTTTGGAGGGAAAAGATAAAGTCTGTGGGGATAAATTTAATTAGTTTTTATCATTTTATTCGAAATACACACGCTGGAATTGTTATTTTTAATAACATTAAAAAAAATTAAAAACTTATGCATGAACGATAGATAATTCTGGAAAAAACACTAGTAAAAATGGATTCGGTTTACATCAGTCTTGAGAGGTTAATGAAAAAACCAGTAATCTTTATCTTGACAATCATCAAACTTTTTAAACTGCACACTTCTTTCAATTTTTGTTGTTGAATTGAAACTTGAATTAGATGAAGATTAATTAATTGTGCTCTTCTACTTAAAACAAACTGAGAAACACAATGAAATCTCATACAACCCAATTCAAGAGTTTGAATTCAACGAAAATTAATTTAATCTCTATTAGGGAATATTTAAATGAATTTTGGATTTTTTATTTCTTCCAAACTATGTGTCAGTTTAACACGCCCCAATTTCTGTACCTCGTTAATTCATCAAAAACGTTCATTCAAATTCAGTTCAAGTTTAAATTTCAAACCAATGATTAATCTCTACTGGCCGTAGAGCTCTTCAAACGCCCCGTGCACCTCGGCCAGCATGTCCGACGCACAAGTGCTGCGTCCACTCTTGGCAAACGCCCTTCGATTCATGTCCCTGACCAGTCTGCAAGCCGCGTAGGCCGCCCTGATGCCAGTTTGCGGCCCTTCAACCTTTTGATACACCTCCCAAGAAAGGAAGGTGCCAATTGATCCTGAGAGAAGGTCGCCCTGGCCACCGCAACGCCGCCAACTGCCCTGAGCTGTGCACTCGACCTTTTCACCTAAGGCGCCTTCGATCAGGTCACTAGGGCCCTTGCGCAGGACGACCGTGTTCGGGCCAAATGCGGCGGCCATAGCACCTTCGCCCTGGCCAATGGCTTTGGCCAAACGCTCGTACTCGACCACGTTGGGCGTCAGTACCAGAGGACCAGGGTAGTCCTAGAAGGACATCAGGGTTCATTTTAATGTGCCATTTTATTTGGTAAGTACCTTGAAAAGGTCCGGCCGCAGGGTGGCCAACCATAGGCCGTCTGCGTCGACCACCAGTGGTTTGGCCGCCTCTCTGCAAAGGTCAATGACGTGCGAAACGCCTTCCAGCACCTGAGGGTCGCGTCCCAAACCTGGACCAATGATCACCGTGTGCAGACGAGGCAGCCAGGGACCAACTGTCTCAGCCACTTTTTCCTTCAATATCGTTAATTTTCAATATCAATAATAATTTTAAATAATTGTTATTTTCAATACTTTGTTTACTAACAATTTAATTTAATTGTTAATTGTTTACAAACTTAATTGCCATGATTTTTAATAGTTAATGAAGTGAATGCATAATTTTATCTAATGAAATTAAATATTACAAAATTATTTCATTTCTACAAGAATGACAAGAATGAAGATAGTGAAGTTTTGTTTCTCATGAATAATTTGTGAAAGGCTCTTAATATTCTTAAAGCGCGGTAAATTAAAAAATTAAAGCAAAAAAATACGAAGAGATAAAACAAAAATCAGTGGACCAGATGAAAATAATACCAGTGGCCTTATTAAAAAGTATACAATCAAGTTAAAATTTTAAAATGTGTAGTTTTAATTTGAAATTTATAATTACGTATCTTTTCTTATCTATAATTTTATTTTTAATAATGCATATAATGGACCTATGAATCCCTTTAATATAATTCAAAGGCATTACTTTAATTTGGAAAGTTCAAAAGCCCTTTATTTTAAAATACGTTAATTGGTTAATTATTTAATTTTAACAGTTTAAAATTTCTTGGATCTTTAATTGGCCTTTCTAGATCTCCAAAGAATACACAATTTATTCTGTCCTACCTTTTCGGCGTGTCCGAGTAAAGGGTGCACGATGAGGTCAGGGCTGTAACCTTTGATGACAGGTGCAGCTTGCGGGAGGCAGAAGACGTGCGCGAGGTCGCAGCCTGTCCTCAGGGCGCTCATGGCCGCAAAGAAGGGCGCCCCCGTGTATTCCTCGGAGCCGCCGACGACACCCACTCGCCCCGCTAACCCTTTGTGGCCCTTTACAGAAAAGTCGGGCACGATGTGCGCCCTGACCTGCTCGAAGAGGGCCGCCTCCTCGAGCACCTGCAGGCTGCTGGACATTCTGCGGACGAGCAGGCGAAACATGCACCGCAAGAATGACCTAGCAAATTCATGAATTTTTTAATCCAATCGACATTTAAACATTAATTGAGCTCACCTGATCGATCTGGTCAAATTGATTTGCGGTTGAAAGGACGAGAAAAGCTATTTTTAGCAAAAGGGCCGGTCGGAAATTTAGTTTAGTTTACTAATTCCGCCGGTTTCGGTGTTTTAAAACGCAATATAACCGATAAACGGTTAATTTTATTTCAAAATTGAAAATCTCCTTATGAAAATTAATTTTACTGAAGCCTAATTAAGTATTAATAAATTATAAACACCATTTTTCCTTCAAAAAAATGCAAAAGTATGAGTTTTTAGAAAATTTCCGGCGAACTTTCGATAACCGGTGGGTCGAACCGGTTTGTTTACAGGCGCACGTGCGTTTGAAGCCGCGGTGCTGCCACCTGCGTGCTCGTATAAAAGTGGATGGCGCGATGAAGTTGGTTCGGTCTGCAGGATGGAGGAGCAGCAGCAAGAGGAGCAGAGCTCCCGCTTCATCGTCGACAGGGTGGAAGCCGACGTTGAAATGGGTGACGTTGGCGGCGACGACGGCGGCGCCGACGATGACAGCCCGACCGCCTCGATCGGCCAGTACACGTACGTGTACGACACGCGCTATGCCAAGAGCATGGGCCAACTCACCAGGGAGGCCCTCCCCAGGGACGAGAACTACAAGGATATCATGTCGTTCGGCGACTACCGACCCACCCTCGACGAACTCCACGAGGGACAATTCAGGGAAAAGGTTGGAATTTTTCCCTTTGTTTTCTCTCTCTTTTTAAACACAATTAACGTTTAAAAATTTAAAGATAATATTTTTCATAATATATCAAAAACGTTGTTTTAATTAGGATCTTCAATCGACTGCACTCTCCAATTTTAGAGTGAAACGTTCATGACACAAGTTTTCAAGGCTGTGGAGCTTTTTATATGTTTGCGTGAATAATTTTTATCCCAAAAAGGTTACAAAGGCTGTTTACTCGCAAAAAGCTTATTTACACAGTAGAGAAGACAGGAGATCTGCGTCTTCAAAATGCAACTCCACTCTTTACTCGAATGTTAAAAATTGTAATCTGAAAACAAACAACGATCTTTTTAAGTCGTTACAGCCGAAATAATAAAAATAAGTTAAGTGTAATTTATCTAAAACTATTAAGTTGCGTTTAGTGTTCCATTAATTTTCCTCAATATTTGATAATATAAAAATTATTCAAATTTTCATCATAAATAAATAAAAAAATGCTACAAATACAATAAAACAAAAGTCTGATTAATGATACAATTTTGATATAATAGAGTTTGTACTTGTGGTGAAACAAATAGTCGGAAAAAATCTCTTGTTGTGTCACACAAGCCTGCGGGAAGAGGTGACATGTGTTTAGAAGCATGCAATAATTACGATGCTTTCGAGAGGAAACCAAACAAACCATAAAAAGAGAGATAAGCCAAAAGTATCTATCTCGTTTTTCCAAGTCGCCTATGCGCCCTTTTTAACATTATAAATAAAGTTTTCCACATATATTACTCCAAATTTAAATTTAAAAAAAATTTAACTAAATTGAAAATAATTATATTATTATAATTCATGGGCGTTTGTTAAAAAGCCAAAAGTAAGAAGAGTGCACAAGATGCATTTTTTGTCGGTGTCATCGACACTGCACATATATTTGGATTAGCCGGTGCCTATTAATAGAAGCCTCATGGCCGAAATGTCTTCAAGCTCCTCTCACTTTCCTTCCAAAATTCAACTCTTGTAACATCTGAGCAGCTTCAATTGCTCTCAACAAACAAACGAACCGCCTCCACCGCAGAGTGCATCCTTTAATTTGTAATTTCCGATCAAGCGGAAGAATTGAAGCGACGGCCGCCGCTGTCTCAAATGTATCCTTGGCCGTGCATAATAATAAGAGCGAGTAACTAGATAAGGCGATGGGCAATAGACAATCGAGTGCGCCCGTCGGTCGACCTTTGACCCGCGCCCTATAGAAAAATAACAGAGATGACTCCTGTTTATTTGTTTGGCGCCGCAACGCACTCTCTTTAATTTCGACGGACGCCGCTTTTTGAAAACATAAAATTTTTATTTTCTCTCGGCCGGGTTTTGGATTATTATCCATTTGAATCCAGTTTTGGTGAGATCCGATTACATGTTTCTGCCTCTCCAGCTTAAACTGGTAGGAATGAACACTTTGGCCTTTTGAGAGATTTCTCTGTAAGAGGCAGAACAGCTCTTTGTCTTTCATGCTAAATTAATTCATTATAATATTTCCATGTGAAGAAGTTAATTTTTATGCAGCTCAATATGAAAAATATGGCGAAGCAAAAAAACTTTCTCATTTTGCATAAAAATAGAAAAGCATTTAAATTAAAAAAAATATATTAAAAAGTATTAATTTTTTCAATAAAAAAAGAAGAATATATCACAGAAATTCTTAGCTCCTCATTTTAACTGCAAATTGTTTGATTTGATTCAATGAAAATATTCAAAATATTGAATTTAATTGATTTGATTAAGTAAGGTTTTGGAATACATTTTCAATGTACTGGCTTTGAGTTGAAATCAATTCATCCATATTAAATAATATTCCGTGGTTATGGCTTTAAAATTTGCAAAAAACTTCCTCTCATATCTTCTACAATATTAAAATTCAGAACCATGTTTACCAAATTGTAAACTACAATTAAAGACACAATAAAATATAAAATTCTGTCAATTTCACTATCGACTTCATTCAAATAAGTCTATTTTTTCTTGGCGCTCATTGAAATAAAATGGTATTTCTACACGATTACGTAAATATGATAATTACTTTCCCGGCAGGAAAATCTCTGCGCACTTTAAACAAGGATTAGTATAATTGCTATTATTGCACTGATCTGTGTGCGCTCTAAAATTAATTGGTAGGCGTGTCAGTGGGGGACAGCAAAGTGAAGTATTACTCATGGTGTTTGTCTTCTCTCCATAGGGAGACCGCATTATACATTTTATATCTGCGACTATTTTTGCATTAGAATGGAACATAGGAGCCTTGTCAAGTGGCAAACCTGCATCAATTTGCCGACCGCAACACACCAAGGTAAACACTCAAGCGAGAAACGTCGCGGCTACGGAAAGAAATTAAAATTGATCACGAGCATGGCGCTTGCGAAACGCCCGATGAAAATATGACATCACTCTTTGGAATATATTTTGCACACCTCTCTTCATTCAAAAATGCATGCTTATTCTCTTTTGTTGATGTTTCTGCACGTGTCTGACGTCACTTTTCGACCAGGGAAATATAGGCTAATTGCAAAATTCATCTTAACCTTCGCCGATCGAGCGAAAAGCGTGCGTGTTCTGGCATTGTAACAACTAGAATTTTTGCGTGTGGCAGATTAAAATCGCGGCAACGTGCCCAAATGTCATTTTAATCTTGTGCGATCACACGCAGCACTCTCAATGACCGTTTACTGATTATCAATTTGATTTATTGCAAATTATTTTCCAATCAGTTTTCAATTAGATCACTCCAAATTACTTCATAATCGGCTAATTTGTGTCCCTATAAACTCTTTTTACGTAAATCAGGTTGTTATTGGCAACGGCACAACAGCGATTTGTGCAGAGATAATTGATTAGGAAAATATAATAACGAGTTTGCTAACTGAAATTTGTAACGAAAATTAGCTCATCAACAGCTGGTCTCTTTTTCTCTGATCAATATTTGAATAATTATCTCTTTTTTTTTAAAAAATGAAATTTTCAATAATTTTTTTATTCTTTTATTTAGTTTTCAAAATTGTTTAACTTTATGTCATTATTTGAAATTTGTAAATTTAACTGAAATATATAATTGGTCAGAAGCAAGGGCGGTCTATAACTTTTCGAATTAGCTGTGAGGGTTGACCGGATAAATTAATTAGAGGCGTTATCTCCTAGTGCGTGGAGTGGAGATCAATATCGGCTCGTATAATCAGCACATTCGGCAGATGTGGCCGGCTATATGCGTTTCTCAAACTGTAATGCACGCGCGCGTCAGTTCTGGGAAACTCCAAGAGTTTAAACGAGGACAGTTGCCCGCATAGATAAACCCTGCATTTAAGGACGATTCTTTGTCAGTAGGAACATACTAAAAAGCAGGATATATTAAATCGAAATTCAATAACTGTAATGTTAATTACAATAAGAGACGGGAAAGCATTCGATCTTAATGATTTGTATTTCATTTACTCTACTGAATAAGAAGTTATAAAGTTGGAAGTTTATTTGTAGAAATAGTTAAGAGTAATTATTACGTAAAATATCCTGTGCTTATTTTTTGCATAATACGTTAGAATTTTATCACCAAGTTTCAGGGAATGTTATAAAAAAAATTTATCATTATCAAGGGTCTTTAAAGGGTGCAGTCATGCAGTGTAATTTTCAAGCAAGCTTTTGAATCAATCATTCATGCTATACTCAATTGATTTGCAGATGAAAACACTTCACATTATTCAAGATGTGTACTAATATTATTCATGAAAAATGCATATTTGTTCTAAACCTTTAATTATATTTTTTTATCTTCATCATTTTTTTATATTAAAAGAAAATGAACAAAACTTAATTAAGATAAGATTATAGGTTTTTTATTTTCAAATTTATTTACAATTTAATCTCGAATTGCAATAATAATAAATAATTAATAATGATAATTTGCAGGAAAATATAACATTAATTAAAAAATTTTAATAATATATGACTCTCCATAACAAAGAAATAACGTAAGCCTTTATTAGAATTTAAATGAAATTCTCTGATCACTTGCCAAGATTTTGCCCAGGCTAGGAATTTAAAATATTTCATTTCGATTAATTTGATAAAATAATGTGCAACTCAGATCCTTAAACGCATATTTTTGTATTATGAATCTACCGTTCAGTTATAATTGGAGCGTTTTGTTATCAAATTATCCCTGTCCACTTTTTATGTATATATTCTATTAGCACGTTTTCGTGCCGACACAACAATTCCATTATATTTGGCTGTTGGGAGTCACATCTCGGTCGTCGATATTAGCCGAAGTGCATGACATGCCTCTGTCCAAACAGTGGGCTCAGTGGGTGCAAGCAGGGGCGGCGAACAGCGTCAGTTTTGATAACGCGGCCGATCGCGCACAAACAACTCGGTCGCGGGGCGCAGCTGCATTGTATCAGATTCAATTTTAACCAGCCACATGCAATATACATACAAGCGGTCGGCACGATTTAATATCAAATTTGTTGGCCCCCCCATTGCAAGTGACCGAGGGAGAAGGACGTAAAAAGAGATGTCACGAAAATGGGTCAATTGATCGGCCTTTTTCTTTGTTGGCGAATTCGCTGCAATGTTTATTTATTTGTACTTCACAAGTCAACCGAATCAAAAAAAAAAAAGTTTTGAATGGCCGCCACTTTGCCGGTCAAGGCTGATTAGGTTGAATTTTATGGAGAAATGTGTGCATTATTGCGCATTTTATAACTGATGCTAATTTGCATAAAAGGTTAGTTTTGATCGGAAAAGAGGCTAGTGCGTTGTTAAAGTTAAACTTGCCACCGGCAACAAATTAAACAAACCGTTGCAGCACCGGTCTGGTCTTGAGTATAGTTCGTAGAGTAAACAATAAACAGTTGACTTGAAATGAAGATATAATTCTTGTTAAAGAGCTATATTGACAGAGTGTCTGCTAAATCAAGTTGTATTGTTGTAATTTGTTTCATTTAAGCTCGAAAAATAATCGTGTAAATTGAAACCCCAGGTAAAGTTTTTTTTTAAGTATAACAGAAAAAGGCGGTAATGTTTTTATATTATTATCATTTCATTTATTTTTGCACTTAGTTACATACTGTTCTTCAAAAGTTCCGTCAAAGAAATAAAATTTTATACTACTTTAAGTATGGTCGAATATTAAAAATAAAAATAAATGTCCTTAATTTTCACAACTTTATCATGAAATTATGAAAATAATCCTAGGAAAAGCTCAAGTTAAGTTTTTTAATTAACATTTTTAGTTTCAAGCAGATTGAATCAGAATGACACAAATTGCAAAGATGTATTGAAAGAATTTTAAGAAGTTCAACAAAAAAATTAAATCAACTTCTTTCACCAGTTTATGTATGGAAATTAGGTCCGCTTGTTTTATAACACAAAAGTCTTTTGGGTTCATTTTTGTTGTTGTTTTTTCCCCACTTGACGTAAGCCAATCTTCATTTTTGCCGGTTTAATCTAGGCGAGTGACTTTGCTAATTCGAAATGACCAAAATAAAGCACGGCTAGGACGACCCTTCCTGCAAATCGTAGCGGGGCGGCACAAAAAAGTCCGCTGGAATTTCAAGGTTCCCACCGCAATTATTTACTAATTTGACTCTCTTGCCGGATCAACCAGCTGAGGCTGGACCTTTTCTGGCGTCAACAATGCGTCTTGATAATATAGAAAATAAAGCAGCGCTGCACGAGGGGGCCGAAAATTAATGGAATAATGATATCTGGGAACACATTTCGCTCTCCAACAATGACGGCATGCGTTTTATTCGAGCGGCAGATGTCGCGTATTAAAATGATGGTTGCAGCGCCGGCCGAGCACCCTAATTTTCTTTCCTCTATGCGAATTAGATTGAGATTTGTAGGCCGAATATTCACGGCGTTTCATTCTGCATAGGGCCAATTATGTAATCCAGTCTAGTTGCGGCTGCTGCATTCTCGTTTCGGTCACGTGACTGTGAGGCGCGAAACGTTTTTATTGCTGTGCCATTGTCCGAAATTCGAATGCAATGCCACCCTCGCGATCGTTATTGTTTATGAAATGCGAATTTAATTATTTGATTGTGCGCGCCCACGAGAGGAAGGCCCCGATGACACACTGATCTTGACCAGTAAGGCGAGGGCGGTGCATTAAAATAAATTGGTTTCTGTCCAGGTTGGCAAATAAATCGCAATTGTTTCTCGGACCTTCGACAAGGATATAATGCTGTTCTGGCCAAGTTCGAAACTTGTTTTAGATTTAATATTAAAAAATTTTCGCGTTTCTAATTAGTGAAGGACTTATCTGAATGCTACTTTATTTTATTAGATTTAATCGTCTAAATTTTTTAACAAAAGCTTTCAACGCGCAATTGCTTTTCAAATTGTTTCTGCTTTTTTCCTACTGGGGAAAATGTACTTTGACATTGTTAAATACCAGCTTGTATGTAGTGCTTGGGAAACCTGTAATTTTGTTTATTTATTTTTGATCAATGGAGTTCTGCTGTTCTAATTGAATTCAGAAATAATTTCCAAGAGGAATTTGTAGCCGAGTTTCCTTACTCCGTTCCACAATACCAATTTGAATTTGAATTTCTTTTTGATATTTTTAAGCATTGTTTTTTTGAAAATAATTTTGATGATTTTAATAATCTTTTTTTTTCATTTGATCGAGTTTTTTTTTTTTAAGTGAGCTACGAGATCTATTATACACGTTATCCTACAAAATTCACACATTTTGTAGAATTCAGTGTCATTTGGTGGTTTTCTATAAAAATATTAATTTGTAGATTATTATACAGGTTAATTATTTTCTTTTATTCAATTTTGTTTAAGTTTTATGGGCTTCAAATTTACTGAATTGTGCTCGTTTGATTATTTTGAGCAGCGATTGTAATAAAATTCGCAAGTCTAAGAATTAGGCACTAAAATCATTTAAAAATAATGAAACTTAATCAAGTGATATTATCGATTTAATAATTTCCTCAAGACCAATTTGTATGCTAATAAATGATAGATGTTTCTAAAAGCATCTCTGCCCCGTCTACCCACACAACAAAAACGTTAGGCAACCGGTGTGAACGGCCCTGTTCCGACGGTTGCATAACAACCGCGTACGTGACATAATGCTCCATCAAATTATGCATTCGGATCGATTTACCTCCATTGAAACGCAACCGTAACTCTTCCAATCGATGCAACAAGCAAAATGTCTGAATGCGTGACGTCAAAGCAAGAACAAATCGTTTTCGGCCGATTAATCTGCGAGCCAAATAATTTATCTGGTTGCGTAAGACGGATGCACACGCACCGTCGGCTCGTTCATTCATCTTGTGTAAACACGCGCGGCAATTAATTAAATAAATAAATTTCACTCTCCGGAGGCGCGAACTAATTACCAATAAAATGTTCACGCTCGCCCAAAGCCTGGGCATGATTTATGGGGTGCAATAAAAAACGTCATCGTCGTCTGTTGTATAATTAGCCAAATTGGTGCATGTTTACCAAAAGTGAGCAAACTTGGATGTGATTGGATGCTGCGTGAAAAATTTAAACACAGGCCCTATAGAGTGTCTCTCGCTCCTCACATCCTGCCTATGCCGCGCACAATTGCAATTACGTACGCGCGAGAGAGCTGCGCTGACTGAGGATGTCGCCAATCAAAGACACATATCGCTCAAAAACAGCACAGCTTTTATCAGCAAATTAATTTAATTAAGCAAATTATTTATTTTAACTAGTGATTCATTTATTCATTCATTTTAATTAAACAAATGTACAAAATGCTAAAGCGATTTTTGTTAAATAACTAAATAAAAAAGTAAAAAAAACCAATACGCGTCAAGATTGAGTAGTAAATTGTTAATTTAAATTCATTACCCACAATATTTTGCAGAATTTTACAATGGATGTCATAAGATAAGTTGTACTAACTTAAATTTTAAATAAGTTAATAATAAGCTACATTTTTCCATTTCAAATAAACACATGCTGACAATGCACCGCTCTGTTCCCTTAATTTTATTGTCTAAAGTTCAAAAGAATTTTGCTACATTTCCACCTTTCTACGGTTGATCTAATAAGATTTGCAAAATAAAACTTTTACGTGGCACTTTCCGTTCAATTCAATTTTCACTAAAAAAATTCTAATTACTTATCACCTTCAAATTTGCATCATAATGCCCTCTTAAATTCAAGTATTAGAGTTCAAGAAGAAAGAAAATTAAAAAGATGTAGAGCAAATTTAAAATTATTTGCAATAAAATATATTATGTTTGTGTTCATCATGTGCACCACAAGGCAGCTCAATAACTCTTGTTATTAAATTTTACCAACTCAGGAGTTTTACTGAAATTTTTGAATTAAAACCTTTCTTTGAAATCACCTTTAATTTGTTACATTAATTTCAATAGAAAAATTCAACAATTTTTTAATAATCTTCAACTACAATTTTTTTACAGAAAAGCAAGCAAGACGTGGCCGAAGTCCAAAAGAAAGGAAAAGTGATCAAGTTCGGCTGGCTGGAAGGCGTGTTTGTACGTATTATTTCGCTCCTGACGAGTCAATTAGTCTCACACGTAAAATTTGCACCAGATGCGATGTCTGCTCAATATCTGGGGTGTGATGCTCTTCCTGCGTCTCTCGTGGGTCGTCGGCCAGGCAGGAATTTGTGAGCCGCAAACTTTTGCTGTAAATCATGTCTAAACAGTCTAACTTTGCAGTGGAGGGCCTCCTGATCATCACCCTGGCCAACGTGGTGACCGTGGTGACGGCCATCTCCATGTCGGCCGTCAGCACCAACGGCCAAATCAGTGCCGGTGGAATTTACTACATGATTTCGCGGTCGCTCGGACCTGGTTTTGGCGGCGCCATCGGCCTCATGTTCACCCTGGCTAACTCGATCGCCGTGTCCATGTACATCGTGGGCTTCTGCGAGTCGCTGCAGGATCTGCTTGCTTCTTATGGCACCGTCCTCATTGACGGCGCCACCAACGACATCCGAGTCGTCGGCATCATCACCCTCATTGGCATTTTGGTGCTCGCCATTGTCGGCATGGACTGGGTCACCAGAGTTAGTCAAATTTGTTTCATAATTTTATGCACTTAAAAATATTTATTTATCTTTACTGAGGCATAAACATTTCTTTGAGGAAAATTGTGTTTATACTCAAGCATTCTCCACTTTATTGACCAGGTTCTAGGTGTGCTTGAAATTTAATTTTCTTTAACACATTAAAAGAATTATAGGAAAAGTTTTAATAGATTGATATTGATATAAGATTTTTAAATTTCATCCCTGTTTCATCCATAATTTAATGCCAAAAATTTTCTTAAATTTGATTAATTTTTAATTCTAGTTCCAAATGGGTCTATTGGTTGTGCTAATTTTCTCTCAAATCGACTTCATCATTGGGTCATTCTGGGGTCCCTTAGACGCCCAGGAGCAGGCAAAGGGTTTCGTCGGCTACAGCAGTAAGACAAATAAATTTTAAGCTTTTTTCAATTCAAAATGTGTAATTTTTCTAAATTCTAGTGGAAACGTTCACGAATAACTGGGGCCCAGACTATCGCACGCAGGAAGGTGTGGACCACGACTTCTTCTCAGTTTTCGCCGTTTTCTTCCCTGCCGTGACGGGCATTGTTGCCGGCGCCAATTTGTCTGGCGATCTCAAAGTAAGTTTAATCGTTTTGATTAGAGTTGAAATGTGTTCATATTTACTTTCAATTAGGATCCAGGTAGTGCCATTCCTCTCGGCACACTGTTAGCCATCGTCGTCACTTTTGTTTCGTACTTCGGTTACGCTATTATGGTAGGCAGCTGCGTTTTGCGTGACGCCTCAGGCAACGTGACCGAATATATGTTGGGACTGAACGAGAGTGCCAGTGATGCGTTGAAATATGTCGCTAATTGCACCGGCCGCGAGTGCGAATTTGGAATTGCAACTGACAGTCAGGTACATAAATTTAATAATATATAAAATTCATGTTCGGAAATTTGATCTCATCATAAATTAAGAAGTTTTTCAAAGATTGTTTACCTGCAAGTAAAGCAAATTATTATAGAAACTTTTAAAATAACCACTTATGTTAACCATATTATTACAAATTTTAATTTACTTAATAATGTGACTTATTGATGTTCTCTTGCATGTTTATAAAAAATCTTATATGAAATAGTGTTTTTCTTTTAATTTCACGAAAATCAACTAAACACAATGAATTAAATTCTATTTACTTTGATTTCATTCATAAATTTATACGTACATTTTTTTTTATTTTAATAATAAAAATTTTATTTTAAAAGGCCATGGAGCTGGTTTCTCTGTGGGGACCCCTGATTTACGGCGGTTGCTTCGCAGCCACCCTTTCCTCGGCCATCGCCAGCTTGGTTGGTGCTCCCCGCGTCCTGCAGGCCCTGGCCAAAGACAAACTCTACCCGCTCATCGGATACTTTGGCGAAGGCTACGGAGCAAACAACGACCCCGTCCGCGGTTACGTGCTTGTCTTCATCATCTCTTTCGCCTGCATTTTGATTGGTACGCCGATTTTGTCATAAAAATAAATATTTCAATTTCAATTAATTCCAATTTCAGCTCAGCTGAATGCAATTGCGCCGCTTCTGTCCAACTTCTTCCTGGCAGCTTACGCCCTAATCAACTTTTCTGTGTTCCACGCCACTATTTCCAAAACGCCTGGATGGAGACCGTCGTTTAAGGTTTGATTAAAATCTTAAAGCGTTTTCATGACATAAAAAATATAAATTTTTTAGTACTACAATGAGTGGGCTAGTTTGGTTGGCACAATTTTGTGCATCATTGTGATGTTCCTCATGTCCTGGGTCACTGCCCTGATCACTTTTGCCACCGTTGTATTTTTGTACCTCTACGTCTCCTACCGAAAACCAGGTAAAAAAATCTTGTTCATTGTTTGCAATTGTAGATAATAATTTTTAAATCAGACGCCAACTGGGGCTCTTCGGCTCAGGCCCAGGCGTACAGTTCTGCACTTAAGAGCATGCAGGATCTTGTCAGTGTGGAGGAGCACGTCAAAAACTACCGTCCACAACTTTTGGTGCTCACCGGAATGCCTGGAGCGCGACCCCCACTGGTCGATTTCGCCAATTTGATCACCAAAAACGTCTCTCTCATGATCTGCGGCAACATTCTCTTGGTGTGACATAAATACACATTGATATTTTGAATATACAACTACTATTAAAAATCAGGGCAATCACAATCAACGCGTCCATGAACATTTGAGAGCCAAAGCCCTCTCCTGGCTGGAAAAGCACAAGACCAGAGGATTCTTTGCCATGGTCGAGGACCCATCGTTCGAGGGAGCTTCACAATCACTGATACAACTTGCAGGTCTCGGTAAATTGAGACCCAACTTGCTGCTCATGGGCTACAAGGGTGACTGGACCTCTTGCCACAGAGAGGAGCTCAGGGGCTACTTCAACGTAATTCAGTAAGTCGTCTCTTCTCCAAAGTTTTTCATATTAATAATTTTACTTTCACGCATCATGCTTTTTTTCAAAGATTCCCTAATTTCGTCATAAATAAAGCACAATGAATAATTTTATTACGTTTTATTACCTAACAAACTTGTAACTATTTGCAATATTATTAATTTTTTATAGTAATGCATTGGATCGCCACTTGGCCGTGGGCATTTTGAGGTTAAGAGAAGGACTGGATTACTCGAACGTGGTGGTGGAAGATGACCAGAAAGAACTGAAGAAGCTTCAATCAGGTACTTTTGATGGTTTTGAGATTTTTTTGTCTCATGTTCCTCCAACAAGGAAGTAAAAAAATCAACATGTTTTCGGGATAAATTTCCAATTTCCAAACAGAATTTTCATTATCTCTTTTGGGGGTGAATGGTGAATATTTCCAGTGTCTCCAGGGATCATGTGGATCAAACAAAGGGTTAATCAGTGCCGTTATTTTGACTGCGGTGAGTCGCCCTCGGGAGCCCACTTTTTCAGTCTCTTTTGCTGTTGGTCACATTATTTATGTATGGGTTTTCATTTTGAATGGTTCAAATTTTTATTTCCTAACTCACCGGCGTTTCTGTGGTTTTTCTCACTAACTTATAATTTTTTTTTCTCACATAATGCATGCTGGTGCGGCAAACTCAAGAACCTGGGTCTTCGTAAGTTTCAAACATTAGTAATTTCTCTACATGGTGTTTCGTCGCATGCTCGCCATTCAATGATGTTTTGTTCTATATGTTAAATTCTTGCTTAAAATGGGGAAAAAAATTCTACTGCCCAAAAAATTTAAAAATTTTGATTTTTGCAATAAAATTGGAGGCAAAACGGAGGAACTTATTATTTTTTTTAATTTCCACGCTATTTTTTGCAGTTCAGAAGTTTTAATTTATTTGCACGCATATTATTTTCAGTTGTTGATGTCCAGCTATTATCTGTTGCATGCAGGTGTCTTAATTGAAATAATTAAAATAAATATTTGAGAATAAATTTATTCTAATAAAATTTTTGCTTTTTAGACGGTTCCAGCAGCGACAGCAGCCAGCAAGACTCTGCCAAGGAACCATTGAAGAAGAAGGACAAAAAGAAGAAGTCGACCAGTTACACCTACACTGGTCCAGGTGGTCAGCCTCTGACTAAAGAGGTGCTCAACAGCCTGACTCGATTTACGAAGAAGCAGCGAAAGGGAACTATCGATGTTTGGTGGCTCTACGACGACGGAGGTTACAAATAATTTTTTCTCAAATTATCAGAATAAAAACTCAAATCTCAAAAGGTCTAACCATCTTGCTTCCCTACATCCTGAGCCAAAGGAAAATCTTTGCCGGCTGCAAATTGCGCATTTTCGCTCTCGCCAACAAGAAGCACGAATTTGAACAGGACCAGAGAAAGTAGGTTTTGAAATATAATTTCGTTCATTACACATGAAAACTTTAATTTTTAGGATGGCAGCTCTTCTGTCCAAATTCCGTATTGAATTTTGCGACATTGTTGTGATTCCCGATATTGCAAAGAAGGCGCTGGAATCGACCAAGAGAGATTTCGAAGCTCTCATCAAACCCTTCAGGGTGACAGAAGGAGACACTAATGCTCCAGACGGTAGTTGCAATAAAATTAAATTTGGAATTTTTTTCTAAAGTCGGAAGTTTCAGATGAAATTTGCATTCGCGATTCAGAGCTGAAGGCTCACATGGAGAAGACAAACCGGCACCTGAGGTTGAGAGAGTTGCTGCAGAAGCACTCGCGCGAGGCTACCTTTGTTGTCATGTAAGCAAATTATTTATTTATTTATTGCCGCTACGCATCCTTTAATTTTATAATTTCAAAAATTTAAATTTCTATGTACTAATCATGCAATTTTGTAAAAAAAAAATCACATTCTAAAATTTCTTTTTTTCCCCAAATGGAAAACAAACACAAGGTTTAATAAAAATTTTTGGAAGATTTATAATTTTTTTCATTGCAACAAGAAAATTAATTAAAATTTCAATAATTATATTGTAGGACTTTGCCGATGCCAAGAAAGGGAACCGTTTCCGCGCCGCTGTACATGTCCTGGTTGGAAATGATGACCAAAGACATGCCACCCTTCCTCATAGTGCGCGGCAACCAAACGTCAGTGCTTACCTACTACTCTTAAAGAGGAGCAGAGCGAAATAAAAAGATCATTCCACGCATTAATAAGTTTTGAGGCTCAGCCAGTTTTAGAGTTTTCAACACACACGCGCGTCTGATGTGTATTTTTCGAATGATAAAACATGTGAAATTGTGCTCAAAAATGGAAAAAGGCCTTTTGACGAGTGTCAAACCAAAATATTTTTGAAAATCACATTCCTTCTTGAAAAATAAAAATAATAGGGCGCATATATTTACAAGAGTGCTGCTATATATGCGATAATTTGTATAAATGATATTCTTGCCTTTAAAACTATTATAAATGAAAATGTATTTTGCCACTGTAGAAATTTTCCAGAGACAAAATGTGAATTGTTATCGCGTTTTTTAGAGATTTATGGAGACGATTGTGCTGCTATATATGATAATTTAGATCTGACGACCGAGTGCTTTGTCTGCTGTTTACAATCAAATCAATAATTAATTATACACACCCACTATGTATTAAAAAAAAATGATTGACGCTGTTAACAAAAAATAATAAAGAGTAATTTTTAAACCCAATTTTATATTGTGAAAATTTTATTTAAAAGCCAATTATAAATGTTCTGATTTGCATCGGATGCAGAATAACTGTGAAATTATTTGATTTGTCCACAAGATTTTTCGGTAGAGACGAACTGCTTTTGAAAGGAACTTCGGATCTCCAAGAGAATCGACTGCTCTCTGCTAACTTTTGATTAGCACCCAAAGTCATTTCTGTAATTTCTTTGGCTTTTTGCTTCAAAATATTCTAGTAAAATTAAAAGTGATAAAAGATATTTGATGCAAATATTTTTATACCTCTAAAGATACTTGCACAGGCTGCGATATTATTTCGTCTTCGTTTTTATCCATGATATTCTCAAGTCGCAATAAAACTTTCGCATCTTTCCAAGGCTCAAGAGTGAGTAAATTTATACTTTTTGGCAGGGAACTTTTCAACCCGGAAAACTACAATGCAGAAAATTGTCACTTACTTTTGCTTCAATTGGGATGTATGGTGATTATGGTGAAGATCATTGCGTTTTGCCACCATTCAAGCAGTTTTGTTTACAACACACTATTTTTCCACTGACTGGAGAATCGGGGAACGCAACGAAAACATACCTCCGCCGCCAAGTAACGCATATTTTGCCCCCACTCCGCAGGCGCAGGGGCGAAGAACAGAGTCGGCTCCAAAACAACCTCCTTCTGCACAGTTTCGCGGATTTTTGTTGTATTCAAGTTCAGCGAGTTGGAATGCGACTTTTTGTTGTCGTTTGGCTCGATTAGAAGAATGTGGCGGCCTCGAGCTACCATTCCAACCCCCATTTGAAGTTCGTCCAGGACTTCTTCGACGCCGAAACCATCATCTTGGACCAGCCGCCTGTGAACCTGGAAGCGGCGGATTGAAACAGATGATCAGGATCAGCTCAAAGGTAAGTGGCAACGCTATCTTTTTAATTTTCGTAATTCGTAATTTCCTAGCAAAAAAATTTAAATTGTATTCAATTTTTAAAACTTAAGATCATCTAAAATAAAAAAAATAAAAAATTAAAGTAGAAATAGTGAGAATTTTTTGGAATTGTTATTACAACAATACATATTAACCAACAATATATGAGGAACAATTTTTAAATAATTTTAGATGGTTCCCTTAAGTTTTTATTAATTTTTGTCACATAATTCTGTGTTGAGATGATTATGCAATTTTCTCATGTGTACATAATTTTGTCTTTCTAAGTTGTATTTTTTAAATGCAAATTAATATTATTTGTAGTAGAATACATTATACAAATCTCACTTTAATATACTATTGAGATTTCTACAAAATTTAAACAATTTAAACCTAACAAAACAAATTTACACCACAAACCATAAATTCAAGGCTTCCATCCTCAATACTGCTTCCACCTTGAGCCCTGTCGGTCAATACCGCAATTGTCACGTTTTCATCCCCAATTGAAATAGCGCTCGTAACAGGGTAGTAATTCCCAGCAACAGGTTCTTTAATATTCGCCAACCAGGATTCCCTTGAGTTCCTTTTGCGGGTCAGGAACTCTCGACTATTTGAATCGGTCATAAACTCGCCCTTTGTTTTCAAATTCGTTGAGAAACGCGAAATCACTTCTTTCCCTGTTTCGTTTCTAGAAATTTATAAAATAAATACCTGAAGTTTTCCTTGTGGTAATAATTATTTAAACTTTTCAGTCGGAATCGGACCAACAAGCCATTCAAACTCAACATGCTTTTGTCCCTTGTAAATTCTTATAACTTGGCTTGCCCAGGAGGAAAATTTCTGGTGAATTTCTTGCACAAGAGATCCTGTGAATTTATTTTCTTTTTGTTTCTGTGATGAAAGAGAAACGACAATTAACCTTTGAAGGTTTCGATTTTTGCGGGTGATGAGGGGTCAATATCTTCTGGATCGTTTTCATTCGGCCTAAAAATGTACGCGCCAGAGGATCTCAGAAATTCGTCATTAACCTGCTCATCGATAGCTGACCGGTAGTACAGAAGCTCTTGAGTTAAGGAAATTTCAAAGCCATCCACAATTACAGATTTTATCAACTTAGATTCGTCATCAATTAGAATCTTCACATGCTGGGAAAATAAAATTTAGTAAAATTACTTTACTTGAAATGAGTTCACTGACCTCATTTGAAATTTCAAATTGATTTTTTTCACCTTCTTCTTTATTTACGGAAATTATTTTGTTTCTTGAAGTAATGTGAAATGTTTTGAAACCCAGAGGTGGCAGGTCGGTGGCTTCAAAAATGAGTTCGTGAGTCGCACCACTTTTTCTTATCGGAATATTTTTCACTTCCCATGGCACCGGTACCATCTGAACTTCAAGCTGCTGACCTAAATAATAATTTAATATTATGAACAATTATGAAGTTTCAATTTTTTAATATACCTGTCGACAGATCAATGACGTTAAATTGATTTGATTTAACTGGAAGTCTAATGAATTTGCTAATCACTCTGGCCAGGGGGTTATAAACGGTCACCAAAAAAGAATTGCTGTTTTCAGAAACTGCACATTGGCTCATATTCAAAAGTGGACATCTTTCAAATTTCAGCTCCTCCCTAGGATCGGCACTATTTTCTCTCAACAGTTTACTGAAAAAATTTTAATATTTTAATCTAAAATTTTTGTGCTGCATTATTTATTTTAATACTTCAAGAAGGTAGAAATTGATTCGTCACAATTACTCATTGCCCGGTCAAGTATTTTGGCGTAATCCTCGGCCACAAATTGCTTTTCTGTTCCTGTGATGGCGTCGTGATGTTGCAAAACGCCCATCGCCTCTCTCAATGAGTTCAAATTTTCACTTTCGCTAGTGCCAGTCAACACGTGCAATTGCTTGCAAACCTTTTCAAAATATTATAAAACATTAATTTTCAAAATGTACAATAAAATTATCTGAAATTTAGTAATTTTGAAGACCTGCAAAAGATTATTTCCCACACGTTCAAATCTTTTCAAATTTGGTCTGGACGTGTAGAAGCCTGTCCAGTACGAGTGGGATGCGTCAGCGTAGGGTAAAAAGTCATCTGAGCCAACTTCGGTTCTCATCGTGAAGGGCTTTGAGGTAGCAAGAGGGAGTGGAATAGACGATCTTGACTCCAGTTTCCAGCGAAATATTGTTGACGTGTCTTTAAAATTTAATTGCTTTTAAATTATTTACATCTGGCATTATTTACCTGATCAGAACATCCATGTTTTTGTACCACTTTTCAGCGACCATGTAATTGAAGTCGTTTCCCATGGTCCAAAGAATATTGTTTGTCGCATACTTTTTCTTCTGATCTCCCACGGCTATGATAAAATCAAACACCTACAGAGAATTAATTAATAAGTTATAATCTTTAACATTTATTTTGTGCTACTTTTTGCCTAACATTGCCCTTTCGGGGGTCCTCATTAATGTAATCGCCACACCAAATATCAAAACAAAAACCTCTCGGAGGGCTGTATTGATTGTACAATACACTTGTAAAGAGATCTGCATCAGTGCCTTAAAAATTTTAAGAAAACGAAGACAAAGTTTTACGGTTAAAAATTAATTTTTAAGTTTTAGAAAATACCACACCAAGATTTTCACTCCCTCGCCAAATCATTTCCATCCTTTTCATTCTCATCCTATTCTGCTTGTCATCCTCGTCGAGTCGACCAAAAAAGAGTCCGTCAAAGCCCATTTGAGCCATTATGGAGGCTGTTTCTCTTGAGTGGCCGAAAGGATCGATTTGCCAGCCTACATGCGGCCGACCACAGTCGCCAAAAATATCAGACAGGCGTCTATGTTTCAAATTTAACAATAATATGTAATACAAATTTTGATAATATTATATTTACCGGAGTCCCCATGTGAACTGGTCAATGGTGCTCTGGTAATGGGTCACGGCTTCATCATTCATACTCCACGCTCCCCCTGTTAACTCAATTTGCCCACTAGCCACTAATTTCTTAAATATATATTTCAATGTCTCATTTTTGTGACTGGTCCACCATTTCCACAAATATGCAGTTTCCACCCAAATAAATCTGAGTGTGAGATTTAAAAAATTGATTTGGTGCAATAAAAAATTACAATTATTTTTACTTTCTGTTGGTGTCCAGTAAAAGCTGCTCCACGACTGACTCAATAATGCTCTTGACGCCTGTGTTGTAAGGTTCAAAACTGCGATTTGCTATAAATGTAGCAAAAAGTAAAATCATTAATAAAATTGAAATTTTTTAAAGATAATGAATAAATTACTGCCTTCGAAATACTGATCAACTGTTTTCACCCATCCAACATCGTCGTGTGTGTGCGGTACGAAATGAACAGTAAGCATTTGAGGGTCTAACTTTGGGCACGCCTGTCAGTTTTGTTTGAATATTACAATTAATTATTTAATTAATGATTTAAATCATTTCAACGATCCTAAGTTTCGTACTCGCCTCGTATCCACAATGAGGATCACATATTGATTCAATAACATAAATTGATACAGTTAAAATTAATGTTAATATGGAAGTCATCGCTTGTGTGAGGAGTAAAATAAAAAAATGAATAAAATAATAAGAGCGAGGTATAATTTTCTGTAGAGGTGCTGGGAAAGTAAAATGCGGGCAGTCAGTGGAGACTCGCCGGCGTTCTTATCAAACTAGTTAAGACAGCTCACAATCATGAATTTTATGGCACGTCACCCGTCACCCTTTTTATTTATTTTTTTTTCCGAATGATATAATCAATGGTACTAAACTAAATTGTTGAAAACATGGTGATTTGAAACACTTCATATTTTTTAAGTAATTATTAAGTAATTGAGATCAAATAAAAAAAATACCTTTTTGTTATACCAATTTTTAATTTCATTTAATTAAAAAAATTACTCAAATTTTACTACAAAAGTTCTTATCTGCATAGGATGCAGGACAAATTTGAATTCTTTTGAAAAATCGTCTTCGTTTTTTCCTGCCTGTTGATCATCTTTTCCCCAATTTTTTCCTAAAAATCTATCGTTTGGTTTCCTTGAGCGGGAAGGATTTCTTTCATCAGCCCATTCAAATCTTTGGCTATCCGCCAGCTCCTGATTAGCCCCAAGCGTCATTTCAGTCACGTCTGTGATTTGTTTTTCAAACAAGCTCTGATTTACCATAAACGACAGAAAAAATTCATGACAATGTTTATGAAAAATTTATTAATAATTGCCTGGAGAGGAACAACTGCTGGCATAGACCAAGTCATGTCGTCGTACTTTTCCATTGTGTGCTCTAGTCGCATCAAAATCTGGTCATCCTTCCACGGTTCCAAAGTAAGCAAATTCACATTCAATGGAAGGTCCATTTTCAAGCCAGAAAACTAAAATTTATAAAATAAATCATTTTGAAACTTAATTTGAACGCCACCAGCTCCTCTTGAGAGTTTTGCAGGTTGCATAACAAAACCAACCTGAGTGACGTGTTTCTGTCTCCAATCCTCGGCAGAGAGACTCGTCGTTGTGAAAAACAGGGTTGGTTCCAAAACCATTTCTCGTTGCACCAAATCACGTTGTCTGACGGTGACTTTTGATTTTTTCGGAGCCACTAAAAGAATGTGTCTACCTCTGGCTACCATCCCTTGGCCTTCCTGAAGTTCGTTCAGAACTTCAGACACGCCATAGCCATCATCCTCAACTAACCGTCGGTGAACCTAAATTATTTTTAAATAAATAATAAAAGTTAAATTAAAAAAAGCAATTGTTACCATTAACTCTAGACTTCCGTCAGTAATACTGCCTCCACCTTGCGCTCGGTCAGTTAAAATTACAACTGTGGTTTCGTTGTCGCTGATCGAAAGAGCAGACGTGATCGGATAATAATTTCCAGCCACCGGCTCTTGGATGTTGGCATCCCAAGTATCTCTATGGTCCCTTTTTCGGCTTAAATATTCACGGCTGTTCGAGTCGGTTACAAATTCTCCCAAGGTTTGCAACTTTGTGGAAAACTTGGAGATTACTTCTTTTCCAACATGATCCCTATTGTATAAAATGATTTTCATGGTCGATTGTATATGAAATTATTTACTCAGTAGGTATAGGTCCAACAAGCCATTCAATTTCAACATGTTTTTGTCCTTTGTAAAGTCTCACAACTTGGCTCGCCCACGGTGAAAATGTCTGATGAATCTCACTTACGAGTGGACCTTTTAATATATAATTGTTTCTCCATCAGGTTCAAATAAATAATTAACTAAACCTTTAAAAGATTTAATTGTAGCTTTTTCATTGGGAATTTCCTCAGGGTCATTTGTCTCTGGTCGGAAAATGTAGGCCCCTGACGCTCGTAGTGGGACAGGCAAATTATGATTCCCCTTTCCTGAAACGTAGTACATGAGCTGCTGCGTCAGTTCCAATTTTGTATTGTCCACTGATATGGCACTCATTAGATTGGTGTCCTCGTTAAATTCCACTTTCACAAACTGAAAAAGAACCAGTTCAAGGAAAATTTGATAATTTTTAAACAAGAAACGTTTACCTCGTTCGAGATTTCGTTTTCTTTATCCCCGTCATTTCCAACCCACGCTTGCCGCCTCTGCCTACTAATTTTACTTGCCTTGACATGGAAACTTTTGAAACCAAGCCGTGGCAGGTCGGTGGCTTCAAAAACAAGCTCTTGATTAGCGCTGCTCTTTCTGACCGGAATTTGATTCACCTCCGGTGGTAAAGGAACATATTGGACTTTCAGTTCTTGACCTGTTTGAATTTCAAAAATTGTTATTATTGAAAAGAAAAAATAATAATAAAATGAATTTCCTCATACCGTTCGATAAATCTACAATTTTATATCCAGTGGCCTTTACTGGCAAACGTACAAATTTGCTCACGCTCCTTGCTAGAGGGTTGTAAACTGTCACGACGAAAGCGTCTTCGTTTTCAGACACAGAGCACTGGCTGATGTTCAGTAAAGGACATCTTTCAAATTTCAAATTTGTCTCTTTTTCATCCTTTTTGGACAAGACTCTGAAATTTAAATAATTTTTATTTTTAAATTTAAAAAGCAGAATTAAGAAACTACGAGAGGAAATCAGATGTTGATTCGTCGCATTTGCTAGTGGCTGTGCTCAAAATTTTTGCGTAGTCGTCGGCTACATATTGTTTTTCCGTGCCAGTAATTGCGTCGTGATGCTGCAAAACTCCCATTGCCTCGCGAAGTGAGTTCAAATTGTCCGTCTCGTTAGTGCCAGTGGAAACGTGCAATTGCTTGCAAACCTAACGATAAAAGTTTTTTTGACAAATGATTATTACTAATCTGACCAGAAAAAATCATTCTTTGTAGGCCCAAACTTTGATTAAAAATGACCTGGAATGTCGCCTAAAGGTCTAAAAAAATCAATTCTTAAAAACGCATTAATTTTTAAGAATGAATTTTGGAATGAATTTAAAAACCAGGGGTCTAATTCTTAAAAAGCTATATATCTCTAAAAACCTGCAATAAGTTGTTTCCCACGCGTTCGAATCTTTTTAAATTTGGTCTGGACGTAAAATACCCCGTCCAGTACGAGTGTGGTTCGCTGGCGTATGGGAAAAAGTCGTCTTCTTTGACCGGCCAGGTTTTATTAGCCTTTTGCAGTGCTTGCAGATAACACGAGGGAGTTGAGTAAACCACAGCGATGCCAGTTTCTGCTGCTATTTTATTTACATGCCTGGAAATTATATGTTTTTTTAAACTTATTGAATTAAACATTTCTTCAATTTTACTTCATCAAGGCGTCTAGATTTGTGTACCACCTGCTTGCCACTATATAAGTGAAATCGGCACCCATGGTCCACATGATATTGTTAGTTCTGTAATTGTCTGCTTGCTCTCTAGCACGTTGAATAAACTCTGATACCTTTGACAAAAACCAAATTTTATAAGAAATTTTCAACATTTAAAAATAAACACCTTTTTCCTGAAATTTCCCGTCTTTGGATTTTCGTCGACAAACTCGGAGCACCAAACATCAAAGCAAAATCCTCTCGGTGCATTGTACAAATTAAATAAGACCCCAGTAAAAAGATCAGCTTCTTTTCCTGCATTTAATTTAACGTTTTCGGTTGACTTTTTTTGCTTCCAAATTATTTTTACCTAGGTTTTTGCTGCCACGCCAAATCATTTCCATAGTTTTTGTCTTCTCCCTATGCTTTTTGTCTTCTTCATCAAGTCGACCAAAAAACAGACCGTCGAAGCCAAGCTGCGCCATTAGTGATGCCGTTTCACGTGAATGGCCAAAAGGGTCGATTTGCCAGCCAATGTGTGGACGTCCGCAGTCGCCAAAAACGTCCGAAAGACGTCTTAAATAAATTTAAAAATTAATTTCTATTTATATATTTTAATAAAGAAAAACCTGAATCCCCAAGTGAATTGATCAATGGTGCTCTGATAGTGGTTTACGGCCTCATCGTTCATGCTCCACGCACCTCCAGTAAACTCTAGTTGCCCTCTCGCCACCAAAGTTTTCACAATTGCTTTCAACGAATCTTTGCCTTCGGAGGACCACCATCTCCAAAAGTAGGCAGTTTCAACCCAAATAAACCTTGGAGGTAAAATAATTGGTTATATTCGTTAAAAATTTATTAATTGAATTTTACTTTCTGTCTTGATCTGCCGTCAATTGTTGGATGACCGATTCAAAGATAGTCCTAACGCCAGTATTAAATCTTGACAAGTTGACTAAAAATAAAAAATAAACCGCAAAGTTTAAAATTTAAATTTAAATTTGCACTCTAAGAGGATTTAAACCACGTTGGCTAAATCTCGATTAAATAAGAAATGAAAAAATAATGCAGGAAAAATTAAGAAAATTTTGATCCCAGGTATTTTAAAAACCTATAAGTATGGGAATTCTGCTTGAGGTGTTTAATTATTAATGTTAGAAAATTCTGAATAAATCTAATAAATTATTTTAATTTATGGCAAGAATCGTATGTCATATTTTTTCAACAAGGTTAAGCCAATGTAAACTTTTTTTTTTAAAATTTAAGTGAAATATAGTTCAAAATTTCGTACGTCCGCCATAATATTCATCGACAGTCCGTACCCATCCAACATCGTCGTGAGTGTGAGGAACGAGATGAACTGTCAACATATTTGGGTCCGTTTTTGGGCACGCCTAGATATTAAAAGATTTTTCTGTATTATTAAAATAATAAATTTTTAGAAAATAATATTTCACTTTCCTCATATCCACATTGTGGATCACAGTTGACAAAAATCACCAGTGATAAGATGAAAAAAGCCAAAACGTTTCGCCCCATGTTGAACGTGGAGAAGTGAATAAGGAACACACAACGACTTGGAAAATGTCTCATGAAAACAAAAAGCAGGACATTTTTAATTGCCAAGCGAATACCAGGTTTTTATCAGCATACTGAAAACCGTCACGTATACTATCGCTTTTTTATCATTTTGGAAAGGAGGTAGTTCCCTTTTTTTCTTCAAAATTTCAAAAAGCTTGAGTTTTAGGTCGAATTGTAATTTTCATTTTGTTCCCATTTATTCCGTTGGTAATTTTTAATGAGGTTCATATTTAATTTAAAAAATACACAAATTTTCGTCTCTAGACAAACTTTATTATAAAAGTTCTGATTTGCATCGGATACAAAATTACAATATATTTTTTAGAGGCGTCAAAGACGTTCCTAGCTATTTTTCGGCGGTTAAAATCTATATTGACGTTTCCATATCTTTCCTGCCACGTGTCCTCAATCCAAGTAAATCTCTTGCTGTCCGCAACCTTTTGATTTGCTCCAAGAGTCATTTCGGAAACGCTTTCTATCTCAGAGCTGAACAATTCCTACAATTTAATTTAATTTTTTATCTGATTCCTAAAAATTTTATGGTGTGTCATCACACCTGTAAGGACACCTGAGCCGATTCTGGCATGGCCATATCGTCATCCTTTTCCAATACATGCTCAAGACGGATTAAAATTTGTCCATCTTTCCATGGCTCCAGAGTGAGCAAATTCAGAGGATAGGGCAAAGATTTTTCTATCCCGGAAAACTAAAAATTTCAATAAATTGTTTAAGTTAAAATTCTGTATTTTTTTCCCTTCAATTATATTTTAACTAACCTCAGCGTGGAATGTTTGTTTCCATTCTTCAGGAGATAGATTTGTGGGTGTAAAGAACAAAGTTGGCTCCAAAACCATTTCACGCTGGACAATATCGCGTAGACGGGCAGTGGCGTTTGACCCAAGTGGAGCCACAAATAAAACGTGTCGACCGCGGGAAATCATTCCCTTGCCCCATTCACGCTCATCCAGCACTTCATCCACCCCAAAGCCATCGTCCTCCACTAGTCGTCTGTGAACCTGAATTAACAGAATTATAAATTCATAATTAATCTGCATTTGACCTGCATATTGTTACTTTACCATTAGTTCGAGGCTTCCATCTTCAATACTTCCTCCTCCTTGAGCCCTGTCTGTCAAAACAGAAACCACTGTTTGTCTGTCTTGCATTGAAATGACTGATGTGATAGGGTAGTAGTTCCCAGCCACTGGTTCCTTAATATTTGCCTCCCAAGAGGCTCGGTAGTTTCTTTTACGTCTCAAATATTCCCGACTATTCGAGTCGGTTTTAAACTCTCCGTTGGTCAACATGTTCGAAGAAAACCTGGAAATCACTTCCTTTCCAAAATGGTCTCTGAAAATAAAAATTCATAATCTTATATTATTGCGAAATTGAGTAAAAATTAATATACTCTGTCGGTATGGGCCCTACTAGCCACTCAAACTCAACATGCTTGTTACCTTTGTAAATTCGAATCACCTGGGTTGCCCAAAAAGAAAATTTCTGATGTACTTCTTGAACGAGAGGGCCTTAAAAATAATAATACATATACAAATTATTTTTAATTGATTTTAAAAATTTTACCTTTATAAATTTTAATTTCCGCTTTTTCAGTGATTGTCTTTGGATTTTTTGTTCCAGGCCGGAATATGTAAGCACCTGATGGTCTTTTATTTTGGTCTCTTCTGCCTGAGACATAGTACAGGAGCTGCTGATTAATAGGCGTTTGAACTCCATCTACCGTAATTCCGACCATTTTCCCACTTTTTTCGTCAAATCTTATTTTAACAAACTGAAAAATGATTATATAACATTTTAATGTTGAAATTTATTTCCTCACTTCGTTTGATATTTCATTCTCAATTTTGCTTCCATTTATCAGTGGTATGTTTTTAAAATTTTTGGCTTGTTTAACGTGGAACGATTTAAAACCTAAAGGAGGAAGGTCAGTGGCTTCGAAAATAAGCTCATGAGTAACATCGCTTTTGTTCAAAGATGATAGGTTCCTGATTTCCTCTGGCACGGGCATGTACTGTATTTGAATGTTCTTTCCTTTTTGTTTAAAAAAAAAAATTATATAAAAATATGAACATGGCAGTTTAAAAATTTTACCAGAACTTAGGTCTACAACTTTGTGCCCCACTTCCACAACTGGCAAACGAACAAATTTGCTTACTATCCTTGCCAGTGGGTTGTAAACTGTGACTACAAATGATTCTTCTTTTTCAGATATTGAGCATTTACTTATGTTCAATAATGGGCACTTCTCTAACTCGACATCTTCGTCGCTCGAGACTAATTTGACCAGTAAACTAAAATTTAATGATTAAACTTTTAACATTTTACTTAAAAAAACCAACTTTAGATGTTCTGAGTTTGTTTCGTCGCATTTCTTTATTGCCATGTCCAATATTTTGGCGTAATCGTTTGCCACATATTGCTTTTCTGTGCCGGTTATAGCGTCATGATGCTGCAAAACACCCATCGCTTCACGGAGGGATATTAAATTTTCTGTTTCTTCATTCCCAGTGGAAACGTGCAATTGTTTGCAGACCTTTTTAAGCAAAAAGTTTTATTTTATTTAGTTTTATTAATTAATAACTGTCAACCTGCAAAAGATTATTTCCGACGCGTTCGAATCTTTTCAAATTTGGTCTGGATGTAAAATACCCAGTCCAATACACGTTAGCGCTGCTTGCGTATGGGAAAAAGTCATCCTCCTTAACTGGCCACGTTTGATTGGCATTGTGCAAAGCTTGTAGGTAGCACGAGGGGGTCGAGTAAACGGCAACGATTCCAGTTTCATTAGAAATAGCGTTCACATGTCTGAAATTGAATTTTTGTTAAAGCCCCTGGTACTTGTTAGATTAGGCAACTTGTACAACGTGGATGGGCGCCGGGTTGCATAACCATTTATTACTCACTTGATCAAAACGTCCAAGTTAGTGTACCAAGTTCTCGCTACAGTGTACTGAAAATCCATTCCCATCGTCCATAAAACGTTTTTCGTCTGGAAACTCTCAGCCTGACTTTTCGCTTTGTAAATAAAATCGGAAATCTTTGGAGTTAAAAAAAATAAGTTTAAATAAAATTATTGCTTCGATTATCACTTTTTCTTTAAAATTCCCATTTGGACTTTCGTCGATGTAATCACTGCATTTGACGTCAAAGCAAAATCCTTTTGGGGGACTGTATTGGTTGAACAAGGCGCCGGTGAAAAGATCGGAATCTACGCCTAAAAATCGCGAATTTACTTTAATTTTTATGCATCTCTAAATTTATAAATACCAAGATTTTTACTTCCACGCCAAATCATTTCCATCGTTTTTGACTTCATCCTATTCTGCTTGTCATCCTCATCAAGTCGACCAAAAAAGAGGCCATCAAAACCCATTTGAGCCATCAGAGAGGCCGTTTCTCTTGAGTGGCCAAAAGGATCAATTTGCCAACCGACGTGCGGCCGACCGCAGTCGCCAAAAATATCAGAAAGACGTCTATATAAACAAAATTTATACAAATAATCTCAAAGAAATCATAAGATTGACCTGAAGCCCCAGGTGAACTGGTCAATGGTGCTCTGGTAATGGGTCACCGCCTCGTCATTCATACTCCACGCGCCCCCTGTTAACTCTAGCTGGCCAGTGGCCACTAACTGTTTCACTTTATTCCTCAAGGTCTCATTTTTTTGGTCAGACCACCATTTCCATAAATATGAAGTTTCAACCCAAATAAATCTGCATGTAAATTACATATTTAATTTTTATTTATTAAAGTATTTTTTGAAGCGTGAAATGAAATATTATTATTATATGGTTTGACTCACTTTCTTATTGGGTCCAGTTCCAGCTGCTCAATAACTGATTCTATGATGGTTTTTACGCCATTGTCGAAAGCTGAATGACTAACTATAATAGAAAGGTGATGTTTTAACCCTTAGGAAAATGAAAACCATAAATCTCATTGACCTCCATAAAAATATTCATCAACAGTTCTGACCCAGCCAACATCGTCGTGTGTGTGAGGTACCAAGTGAACAGTGAGAACTTTAGGCTTAGCCTTTGGACATGCCTAAATTTTCAGAATTCATTAAATTATAATCTCTTCTTTTTTGTTATAAATAATTCGGAGAACTCACTTCATAGCCACAGTGGGGATCACAGTTGATTTGAATCACAATCGATATTAAAAAAATTAAAATTGGAAAATGCTTGCGAGCCATGGTGCGAGCGTTGAGCAAATAAACTGGCTCACCACAAACGGAAGTTTTAAAATGTTTTTATTAATGTTCTTTTTTGAAAGCCGAAACTTGGAATGAAATGCGTTGCGTTGACATCAACGCCATATTTAAGTTCTTATCAAGTTTTCCCTTCCCTTCTCCAGCTTGTGGGGAAATACAACAGTGAAATTAAAGTAGGTTAAATAAATTTCTTTCTTTTTAGATTTTGTTTGATCAGGCCAAGACAAAGTGTCTTTTCGGCCTGTGCCCTTTTTTGTGCTGGTGGAAGGCAAGCTCCAATCTTATAATTATAGGGTATTTGTTATTTTTATTATCTCTTTGTTTTCATTCTGCTAAGTATGTTATACAAGACATTTTATGGAAATGATAGTACTGGTGTTATCCATTGTAAGATTTTTATTAAAATATCATGTACTTTCTTTATAGGCACATCAATGTGATTTAAAACAAAAATTGCAAGTGAACAATTACAGAAGAGAATTGTCTCTCTGGAACCAATACAGGCTACTGAAAAAGTAGGGTAAATGTTAAACTGGTCGTTGGGTAAAATCGGAAATACTTCTCATTTACTGTGGAAATTATATAAACGGAAACAATCAAGAGGTTCTCCTCTTTTGATGTTAAATGCATCTCAAACAGAAGTATTGTATTTTTTAACACACAAGGAGATTCATTCTATTTAGATTAGCTACATTAAGTACAAATAATCTAGGTATGACAATGAATTACATAATTAATTCCGAGTAAAAAAGTGGCAGCTGCTCTTTAACCTAGCTTGAAAATGAAATGTACAAACATAAAGCACAATGAACTGGAATTATTAGATTTTCTTGCATCTCGGCCCCACCACCACAAGTCTTTAATACTGAAATCCCGACACGGCGACTAGGAGTAGAAAGTGAGAACGGAGGTTTGGTTGCCTCTGACCAGCAGGAAGGGGGGCATGTCCCTCGTCAAGGTCTCTAACCAGGCCATGTAGAGAGGCGCCGAGACAACTCCCTTCCGAGGCATTGGCAATGTCCTTTTCAATTTTTTATTAGTGAAGAATTTAAAGAAAAAAGGATAAACTTACATGACAACAAGATTTGCTTCTTTAGAGTTCTCCATTAAAAGTTCCCTCAACCTTAAATGCCTGTTTGTTTTGTCCTTCATGGCAAGAAGTTCAGATTCAGAAATGGGAGCTGTGTTAAAAACAATTAGCACAACTCGTAAATATTTTTCTCGAGCCTACCACTATCCTCTTCTCCCTCCTTGTCTTTTGTCAAGTCTGAGATTAGACTGTCGAAGAACTGTTTTGTGCTCTCTTGTGGCTTTTTGGTGACGTTGGGGATGATCTTCAAGTCAGAGTAATCGATGCGGAATTTTGATAGCAAACTCGCCATGCTTTATGTTAAAAAAATAAAATAAATTGTATAAATAAGCTTCATCTGTTTATAATTTACCTTCTCTGCTCAGTGTCTAATTCGTCTTTCTTGTTGGCAAGGGCAAACACTCGAAGCTTGCAAGTGGACCAGTTCCTCCTTGTGCTGATGATGTATGGCAGCAGCAGGGTCAGGCCTCCGTCATCGTACAACCACCAAACATCAATGGTGCCCTTTTTCTGTTTCCTCGTAAACTGGGTCAAATTGTGAATTACTTCTTTTGGCAAGTCGGTTCCTCCAGGGCCCCTGAGATACAAGTTTAGTGAATGTGTCAGTTTTTTGTAAGTAAATTTTACTTGTACAAGTCGGCCCTGGAACTCTCCTTCTCCTTATCCCTTTTTTGCTGAGGAATGGCTAGAGTGGCTTTTTCTTCTGCCGGTTGCTCAGCTACATTTCCACTTTCCACATCTGCAGGAGGACCAACTGGGCTGTTCGAGTTTCGGCTTCTGCTGGGGTTTGGCGAACCCGGAGGAGTAATGTCACTGGTGGTGCTGGCAGCTGAATATGACAATGATTACAATACGTCTCAAAAACTTTGGGAAAATTTAAGCAAAAGCATGTGTTACAAAGCAAACAGTTTTATTCCAATAGATTACTTTGGGTTATTTAAGGGAGTGGAGCATTTTAAGCCGGTCGAAAGCTTTATTAGCAACATTACAATCACAGACTAACGCATGTTAGTCTGTGATTACAATCAACTATGGGCTTACCCCTATGAATTGTAAGAAAGCCCACCCCCAAATATTTGGCCAGCTCTGTCAGCATTATGAGTTAGTAAGGAAATAATTATTATTTTTAATTGTTAGTTTAAAAGCATGATATTTTTTTATAAGATTATTAATAATTAAGGGAGAATTACCTTGAGACATCTGCGAGAAAGATTGATTTCTGGGGAGTGATTCGGTGGAATTGCTGTGTGGAATGGGAACAATGCCCTTGGCTGCCTTTCCGTTCATCACTTCCTCGTTTGAGGCAACCACCTTGGAATAGTCAAAACCTTCCTGCACCCTAAGAATGGCCACTGCCAGGTGCATATCAAGGGCTTTGCTAGAATAGAATAAAAAATTAGCATTTCCCTTGTTCAGCATAGAAAATATGAATCTTCTCACTGCATTGTGTCAAAATACATAGTGAGCTCTTGTGACGAACACTCCCTCCAGCTGCCCTTGTAGCCCATCAAAAGTATGTTGGGCTTCAGCTTTCCAACTCCCGATGCCTGCATCAGAGATTTGGCGCCGTTCTCAAAACTGAGGTCATCAATCAGTGAGTAGAATCCTTTTACATGGTGTTTCCGCAGCCAGTCCTGTGCATTGATGCTGAGGGCATTTCTTGCCCTTTGAGGAACTTGACCCTACATAGTTATGTGTCAAAATTAAAAATTCTCCAAAAAAATTTTTAAAATACCTGCAGAATGTGGCCACAAATCATGAGGGAGAGATTCTTGCTAATTAGCCAGGCAAAGTCAACAAGAGGTGGTCTTGAGCTTGGCATTCCTGAGAGGACGAGAATCTGCGGTCTGTAGTTCTTGACATGGTCCTCCACATTGCTTAGCTGCTGCACCGACATCAATGCATTGTTGTAAGTTTGAGCTTGAGTGGTTGATCCCCAGTTCACATCTATTCAATAAAAAATAGTTAATAGTATATTGTTAATAAATTTTTGTTGAATTTTACCTGGCTTCCTATACGTCACTATCAAATATAGGGCAAGAACCACAAGTAAAGTAAGCAGGGCTGTATTCCAGCTAATGAGGAACATTACAGATATACAAAGAACTGAACCAATCAGACTGAGCCACATATTGTAAAACTGAAAGAAAAATATTATTTAAATGAACAGTGGAAATTTATATCCATAATATATTACTCGGAATGTTGGTCTCCATCCAACAGGCTTAGCCAGTGAGGCATGGAATGTACTGAAGTTGATCAATGCGTAGGCAGCAAGGAAGAAGTTGGAAATAAGTGGAGCAATTGCATCAAGCTCACCTAAAAATATTTTTTATAAATTCCATTACATTTGCAGCTCTTAGTCCTTACCAATCAAAATGAAGGCAACGGCAATGATGAAAGTAAGAATGTAGCCACGGACGGGTTCGTTGTTCTTTCCATAACCTTTGGCAAAACCAGAAATGTATGGATAAAGGTTGTCTTTGCACAGAGCCTGGAAAACTTTAGGTGCAGACACAAGACTGGCCAGGGCAGACGAGAGGGTGGCTGCGAAACAGCCAGCGTAGATCAAGGGGCCAAATACTGACACTAGTTCCATGACCTGCAAAAATATATTTTTAATTTATTTTGAAAAAAAAAATGAAAATTTCTTAATTTTACCTGTTTGTTATTCATTAGTCCCCATTCACATCCACCTTCAGGGCAGACACTGATGTCACCCCCCATTTCCAAAACTGTCACGTTGCCACTAGCATCTCTCTCAACACAGCCGCCAGCAAGGGCAGCAAAGCCCAGGTATGAGGCAGATGTAATGACAATAGCAAGCAAAGTACCCTTCGGGATAGCCGTTTGGGGATCGGCGAGGTCACCACTGATGTTGGCACCGGCTAAAATTCCAGTGGCGGCCGGGAAGAAGATTGAGAAGACGGAGAAGAATGAGTGTCTTACTCCAGTGTCTTTATCTTCACGATAATCAGAGAAGAAGTTTGTCTTCAAGGTTTCGTCTATAAAATTTGATAGTTTAGAAGTAAAAAAATACTAAAAATAAGTTTTTACAAACTCACAGCTCAAACCAATAAAGCCCTTGGCGCGTTCTTCATCGTCTATGGGACCCCAGAAACAGCCAACCAAGAAATCGGCCATAGCAATCAGCAGAATAACCAAAAGTACATTTTGGGCCTGAAATTATTTTTTATAACAATTTTTAAATTTTTATTTTTATTAGTTTTCACCTTTGCTTCCCATTCCATTCCAACAACAACAATCACTGTCAGAATTACAATTGTGATTGACCCAATGATTCTGACATCCTGGAGACCTCCGTCGACAATGCTGAGGTCATAGGTGCCCAAAAGGTCAGTCAGAGACTCGCAAAAGCCGACCACGTACATGGCACAGGCTACAGCGTTTGCCAGAGAGAAAATCAGTCCGATGGAGCCTCCGAACTCAGGACCAAGGGATCGAGAAATCATGTAGTACGTCCCTCCTAAAAATTTCAGACAGCATTAACAATTTGAAACCTTTTCTGAAACAATTTATTTGAAATTTAAAAATTTGTTATTACAAAAGCAACTGTTTTGACTAATTCAAACAGCCATCACTCCTATATACTGCATAAATAAAATTACAAGAATAAGCAGAGCGGAAAACACAAAACACTGATTTATGTACTTCTCTTTTATAATTTCTGGGCATCTCGAATAATACAATTTTTGAAGAATTTTAATGCATTTCTGAGAAAAATTTAAAATGAAGAAATGTGCCAATTTTACCTCCTTTGATTTCTCCGTTTGTGCTGATGGCAGCCATCGAGATGGCTGTGATTGTGGTGACCACAGACGTGGCAAGGATCAAAAGCATGGCTTCGCCTGCAAAAAGAAACTAATCTAATGCAGACACATACTAAAACTACATCACGATCAAAGCTCTGGGGGAACATTCAACAAGTATTTCATATAGAGAGGGTTGTTATTCATATTCAACACCGCGCACACGTAACGAGAACAACTGCTCGTCTCCTTACCTCCCTTGATCTGTCCATTGGTGCAAATCGTGGACATGGACAGAGCAGTCAGCATGGTCACGGTGCTCGCGATCAAAATTATCAAGAATGCCTGACCTGAATTTGATCGATTGGCAAAATAATTGGATAAAAAAAAATTGGAAAATTCTACTCGTTTTTAAATAATCTAAATAGGGGTATATTTTATTAAATAAATAATGCATGATTTGTTACCGATTCCTGCTTGGCCGACGACCCATGAAAGTCTGAGGAAGAGCATGACACCCCAAATGTTGAGCAAACATCGTACCAGAACGCCCTGGATCCAGCCGAACTTGACCACCCCTTCGCCCCCATCCTGGGGCATGGACAAGTGCGTCTGGGCCGGCTGGAACAAAAATGCAAGAAAATTATAAAGGAGAAGATATGGAAAAATTCGAGGAAATAATTTTTTCTTTTTATATTTAAATAATTCAGTCGCATATAAATTTCTACCTACATGCGCGATAAAATCTTTGGGAGCAAAACTTGTTCCTTCTGAGAACCTGAGTGCTTTTCAATTTTTAGCAATGCCATGCAAGTGACGCAAGTGTGCAGTACTTGGAACAATGAACAACGCTGCGATTCGTGTTCTGCCAGGTGCGGGACAATAAATTTCAATCCTCCCCTCGGGCGAGCAGCGTTTACGAAAGCCGTTTTTGGTCTTTGAACTCCAATTATAGGGTTGGCCTAATTACCATACAAGAGAGGTGAGATAAGTTTGTTTAAGAAAAAATGCATTTTCGAGAGTGAAACGTCGTGGACCTGATTGGTATAAAGTGGCCTTAATTACCGCGCAATTAGGATGTGGCGTGTTCAAATTCAAAACAAGTTGCCTGGTTGCGCATATAATTATAATAATCCTGCGCAAGGAGTGCCACATGGGAGTGTATTCACCCATTTTTTTTATTGTCTTTCAGCATGCAAAACAGTTTCTTGTGTAAGCAACCGTGTCTTCTGGTTTATTATTTGCCTTGAAGAAATACAATAAGGTTTTAATTTAATTATTTTCCAAAAGTGAATTAAAAATTTAATAAAATTCATTGTTTTTTTTTCACTATTCAAAATCTCAATAGTTGTCTTCACGTTTGCAAACAATTACCATTCAAATAATTATTCCTCTTTCACTTTTGTTCACATCATTTATGAGGATGAACCAACCGGGAGGTGGGGATAAATATAAACATCAAGCTGTTGATCCTATTGATCGGCTCAAATGACGCACACGTGAGATTTCCAGCCTGCGATTGTGAATATATTATAAGGCACAGCATTAGTCGCACGCACACCTTTAATAAAGCAACTGGTGTTCCCTTAATTTCGAACGAATCAGGAATGATTTACAACATTGTGAGGAACAAACATGATTACCAAAGGGGCAAAAAATCTTGGTTGTAAATTATGATATAGAAAGCGTGGCAATTTTCCAGACCCTTTTGTAACTTGTCAGTTTTTCTAGGGATATTTTGTGAGCAAGAATAGTGCATTATCTGCTTTCACGGTCGATTCCCGAGGACAGCGAAACTTGCGTTGATTTATGGCGAGGTGGAAAGAAAGAAAGGATTGAGAATGTTGTGTTTTCTGGCGTGCAGAAGGTTGACGACCCTCATGCATGGATGCGACAAAGCCATTCATGTTGCGAGCGAGAACTGGTCCTCTCTGATCAAGCGACACTCTCTTGTAAAGGCAGCTTTGCTGCGAGGTGTGATTCATCCCAAGGAAAAACCAGCAGATCCTGCTCTTGGCCAGGGCAAAGAAAATCCATTTGGACGAAAGGAGGAACCTGTTTCGCCAAAATACGTCGATTCGCAAGAGCTTGTCATGTCATTAAATTTATTGAAGCCATTTATAAAATCTAGTCTCTTTGAGCCGCTATGAGCATTAATGGAGTTGGAACGAAAATGCAAAAGTGCTAAATTAAAAGATTAAAATTTGATATCCAAAGGATATAGGTTCATTGACCAGCTATAGACCGTTAGATAGGATTTTAGTACACAAAATTTTAAAGGTTAAAATGGACAGACATGATTAAATTAAATTTAAATTAATTTAATGAAAAGCTTACGATTGAGAATAAATAATTAAATATTCCTTATAATTACAGAACTAAAAAGACTAGTAAAATAAATTGATTTTGCTAGTTTCTTATATTCATTCTAAATTTCTTCAAAACAATCAATAATTTTATTGTAACCCAACACCCAACTAGTGCCTTGACGCCCTATTGTCGGGCAATAATCTCCACCAACCAGAAAACTCGCGTCCATCAAAGTGAAAAACCGCACTCGTTACCCGCCAATTAGGGCCAAGACACCTCGAGTTCAATTCTTTTTTATGTAAGACGATATATTATATCGACACAGGATGCTGGAGTTATTTTTCCATCCTTCGCCAATCAAGCGTGTCAAAGGCAAACAATAAATAATGCATAAATTATTGATCTCCTAGGAGCGGCCCCTCTACGTTGTTTTTGTTTGTCGACTTTTTCATCCTGACCAAAGCCGCTGCTGGATCTTTCGACAGGTCGGCCTTGTTTTAATTGAGGCGAGATTCGGTTTTAATGACGGTGCGCCTGAACAGGCACAATGGAATTCAGCGCATCATCCATCTCACGTCACGCCGTTGGGGCCAGTTTGGATTTGAATATAATATAAAGAGTAATGAAACGGCGGCGCATCGTTAAAAGTTAAAAAGGATTTTGTTGATGCCCTAACAATAAGTGAGCAGTATTCCTTCTCACCCCAATTCTATCCAGAGTACGTACTCGGTACTCGGAGATCACTCGCTATCAATCAGAGGCGATTAAACATATTGATAAAATAAAAAAGAAAGCATTTAGCATTGATTTATTTTGATAAATGAGAGATTATTTCATTTCAAGTGTATGACCAATAATAATTCACTGAATAAATAGTTGGACCAGATAAAAATTACATACTTTGCCACTAAATATGCAATATGTTAATAGTGACATAATAATTAAATTTTAAAGATTACTCATAAATTAAATTGATTAAATATTGAAAAGCCTTGAATAACTGATTTTACGTACTACGATTTAAAATCTGATTTTGTTATTATTTAAATTTGATGAGTACTGAAAGACAATATCTATCTAAAAGATTAAAATATAAACGCACATTTTTAGGCTGGTAGGATCATTATTTTCAAACAGCAATTATATTAAATTTTCTACTTCATAAAAAATAGATAGATACGAAGGAAAAAAATTAATAAATTCCAAATAAGTCGTTTTTAGTTTAACATTATTTGAAATTAGAATAACATATATTTGCAATGATCCTATTATTATAATTAGTTTTAAGTGAATTAAAAAATTTGGACTAGAAATTGTCTCCAGTCTAAATACATTTTTAATATTTGTCGGCAAAAAAACATTCTGAACTGGAATTTAATTGGAATTTACGACTTAGAATGTGCCCTGAAAACAGTCGCGTTAACAAGGAATTCCAATGAGCTCAACTTTCTCGTTCTACACGCGGTGACTAACCTTTCCAAATGCGTTTGTGACTTGTGAATAATTCAGCGAAACAAGGCGCGATTCACGCGAACCCTGCCTTTACACGATGCCGAGTGGCATGTCCAAAATTTGATCCACAGTCAGGCGCCAGCAATAACTTAAAAAGCGGCACGCCTTTTAAATGAATGTACAGGAAATCGCCGCCTCCGTTTCAGATGCGTCATTTCAAGTATTTTAGTATAGGAGGAAAATATAAAAGGTTTTTTGAAAGCGGTTCAGACAGACTTTGCGAAAAAAAATTAAGTGTATAACAATCTTGGCTGGTGATCTGACTTGGTCATCCTCCGTACTTGGCGCCAAGTTGCATAGAAAATCAGTTCATTCATCATAAGCCCCTGTGTGTGTAGTCATGGTTTGAGTGAAGGAGCAGAGAGTGAACACAATGCAAATTTCAGGCAGAAACTACCACGTCATTCCGTATTAAGAAGCAGACAGTCTTTTGTACCTTTCAAATTTAAAATATGGTCTTGTTGGTTTAAAAATAAAATAAAATGACTTTAATTTGGTTCACTTGAAGCATGACGTAAGGCAATAAATCAAAGAGTTATGTTTGAAAAATACTGCACTGGATGATCTTAAAAATTTGAAAAATGTAGATTGTGTTGCATTTCACTTGCTACAAAAATCAATTAATCAAATCTCCAAAACTTAAACTGGCTAAAACTAATTTTTTCCCATTAGTTTTGCTGCTATTTCATAAAATTCAAAATTTCTTTTTTTGAAAATTAAAATGAAAAAAGAATGTAATTTACAAATATGAATAGTACGACTAAATTAGTCATGGCAAGCCTGTCGCGAGCATTATTATTATCAGCTGCTAGTGCTGTAACAAATGGTCAATTGATTTATAGATTGTAATTGGGTCGTTTCCATGGAGCCAAAGTATAAAGATAGATATCGAGGGTGTAATTCGATAAATTTGCTTGAAAATGTGCTGGTCTAAAAGTAGCTCCCAATGACGCAAGCTGGAAATAACGAAATAATCTAGATATAATCAGTGATTATATAGAAATTAATTTTGTGATTATTACCTTTAAAATTTAATATTAGAGCACAAATTTATAATATTATTTTCACGTGTTTAAAAAATAACGTAACTATATAAATTGATACCTATGAATTGTTCGACGATATTAGATTTACATTTAATGAACTTCGGACTTCGAAATATGAAGAAGAACAAATGATTTCAAAAAATTCATACCAAAAATTATTTAAAATATTCTTCAATCTGGTTTTTAATTTTAAATTCAGTTATTTTATTAGCCTTTTTAAGCACGGATTTATACAAACATTTTCTTTCTCCAACTTTCAATGATCTGCAAATAGACGAACCGACAATAAAATTGCTTTTTCTGCACCTCGCATGACTTTTGTATGTCCATAACACTTACATCAGTACTAAAGTCGGAGAGGTTATAAATCACAATGTGCCGTAAAGTGCATTTCCATCCGCCTGCCTGTCCATCTATCTGTTCTCTCGCGGGGTAAGAGTGTAAAAATAAACCATAATATCGAAGGAAAAATAACGCCCCTACGCACTAAAGCAGTCTGGCGCACTTGAGGAAAAAAATTTGAAAACGCGTACATCAAGGCAGAAGGAAACTCAACGCCGAGTAGAAATATTTATGAAAATTTTAATTTCTCTTGCGCCGACACGTGAGGGAATTGCGCCGCCGTCCGCGCATTGAAAATCACGACAGCTCGCGATGGTAACATTATACTCCACTTATTGCTTTTACCAAGAGACAATGAGTCCGGTTGCACTTCTTTGTTATTATTGCTTGCCTGAAAATCGTGATGATTTC